CATGTAGGCATAATACTCATGAACATAAAACAAAAATAAAGATTGTTTGAGATGTTCTGTATGAAATACAAAAAATTCAATAAAAAGAAATTTAAAAATAAATAAATCAGAAAATTTTCAAAGAAAAAAAAAATGAGGAGGAACCCAATAGAGGGATGCTTTTGGAAGCCCTTGTCAAGAAACTGCAATGGACTCTCATATGAACATTTGAAAATTGCCCCATTCTTTTTTCTAGTTCCCTGTCTAGAACTTATAATGCTAATTACTCTTGCCTTTACTTCTCCTTCACATCTCCCATTCATGATTCAAGGACTTTCTTCTCCCCTTAGAGACAAAAGTTATGCAATTTGGGAGTCTTTTAGATAGACCCACTGAAGGGGTACTCCAGTTGCCTCACCCTGCGTCCCTGTTCAGCCTGGAAGAAGCCAGAGCGGTCTGCGAACCAATTCCCTATCCTCAAGTTGGGTAACCTCTTCAGAGGATAGTGTGATAAGAATAGGAGGTAGGAATTGGCTAGGCAGTTAGGGTAAAAAGACCCCAAAGAAAAGTAGCCAGTTTCTTGGCTAAAACTCACAATGTCCTTGGGCCTCTTAGCAACATACTCTGTTTCAAAGCCCAAAAATATCGAAACTATTTGGGAACTTTTATCTAATCCTTAAAAGATTTTAGGGTTACCTCTTCAGAGGGAGAATGTTAAAGTAGCCAAAAACCCCATAAAAAATAAATAAAAGAAGAAAGAGTACATAAAAAAAGAAAGAAACAGGATCTTATCAGAAAAGAAGTATTCTCAAGATATGTGAACCAATATTTTAGGACCAACTTCTCTTTTCCAACAGAATCTTTACAGAATTGTAGATAAGACCACAAGTCCCAGATCCAGCTTGCTATTATCTTTCAGAGTGATTGTATAATGAATTAATACGTGTAAATAATTCAGTGTAGAGCTTGTTCCATGATATATGGTAAAACATCTGCTTTTACTAAGGAAAAAAAAATCTAAGAAGTCAATGGATGAAGTGGCATGAAACTTTTAAGACACTACTGATGTTAAATGTTTAAAACTTGGAAGTGTTCAACTTTTGAATATCTCTACTATAAATAAACTTTGAGTATGCACCACAATAAAAAAAAAAAACAAAATAAAATTTAAAAAAGAAAAAAAGAGAAGGAAGCAGGGATGAAACAGAGCTATGGTGGGGCCTGGCCTTGGTGCCGACGCTTACAGGGGTCACTCCAAGTTTGATGTGCAGCATTCTAAAAGGGTTAAAAAAAAAAAACAAAAAAAACCTCAGACTTGGCCCAGGAGCCTCCATGTCTGGTGAGTGAATGGCTGGTAGGGAAGTGGCAGGAAGTCCCAGGAAACAAGCAGCACCTGAAGACAGGTGAGGGACAGCATGAGAAACCCAGATGGAGAATCCATTCCGGACGTGAGCTCCGATCACAGCCACTGAGTGAGGCTGGGAAGAGCAACGCTGGCTGGGACAGACCTGAAACCTTACTCCTTCCCGGGTCCTTCATACAGGAGGCAGATTGTTTATTTGGTTTGCTTTGTTTTGTTTTTGAGTCAAGGTTTCCAATAGCCCAAGCTGTCCTTAAACTCGCTATGGAGCCAAGGCTGGGCTTGAACCTCTGATCCTTCTGACTCCATCTCCCAAGTGCTAGGATTGCACGTGTGTGCTGCCACACCTACCTCAGGAGAAAGAGTCTTTTAACAAGATCTTTTGAGAACTTAGTGTTTGGCATTCTTTGAAATGCAGTCTGAGGTGAATCCACTGAAGAGAGGGGTGTGGTACAGTTAAAATTTATGTTATGATAAAACTTCAGGTAGCAAGGAAACATTTACACACTGACATAGACAGAAATCCCCCTTATCTCTGGTACCATGATCCATGGTTTGTTACCAGAGGTCAACCATGATCTGAAAATGTTAATTCCTGACATGACTCTTTCAAGAGAGACCACATTCTTATAACTATTATTATTTATGCTTAATCATTATTTATATTAATTGTTATGGTCAATTAAAATTATCATTTTTTACTGCTTCTGTTCATCTCTTCCTGTGCCTAGTTTATATACAAAACATTAGCATAGGAGTGTATGTGTGTATATGAAAAACAGTGTGTGTATAGGGGTTCAGGACTATCTACAATTCCAGATATCACTGGGGGTCTTATAACATGGCTGCCACCTATAAGGGGTCTGTATTACTTACTTCTCTCATTGTTTGACCAATCCCTGATAAGAAGCAACTTAAGGGAAGGGTTTATGTTGACACACCAGTCCATCACGGTGGGGAAGGCATGACAGCAAGAATAACTCAAGAGTGTAGAGGTTGGAGTGCTGGGCTGTTTGCTCACACCTGGGTAGATCAGGAAACAGAGATGGGGCAAGAGAAGCCAGACTGTAAACCTCAAGGCCTGTCCCATTTCCTCCAGATAGGCCTCACCTTCTAAAAGTTCCACAACTCTCTCATTCCAAAATGGCAGGACCAGCTGGGATGGGGTGTTCAAACACAAGTCAAGGGGATACATTTTACAACCAAAGCCTAGTAGGAAGACTACTCTGTTCCCTGTTCCTTCTCAGCCTGGCCCTAAGCCCAGAAGCAGGGAAACCCCTTTCTGAAGGCAGACATTCACTTGAAGTAGATTTTTACCTGGATACAAATGCTAAACTGGAGGTTGAGGGCCTGGGGGAGAAATGTTCTGTTAGTAATGAGTCCAGAATCACTTTCTGAGTCATCAGTTGCTCTGGCATGGACTCCACTGTTAAAGGGCTACCTCACCAAAAGGCAGGAACAAAAACAACCCTAATGTCTGCATATGTCAGGAACCCCCAGGCATTTACATGTGCTATCGCACCAAAGCAGGTCACATTTTAGACACAAGAAGATCGAAGATCAGAGAAGGTGAATTTGTCATCTGGTAGGAAATAAAGCTGGAGCTTAACTCCCAATTAGCCAGACACAAAACCCCCCAAGTCCCAAATTATTACAAAATAGTTTTTATTTCATCCAAAGCGAAGCTAGATACAAGTCTACAATGCAAAACGTGTTGCAGAGGAAGACAGTCTAATTGCATTCATTCTGTGCTTGAACACAAGCCAGTGCTGGGCATGTGCACATCTGTGCCTCCCAGAGGCACTGCGGACCTGAGGTCCCATCACTGCATTGTTTGATCTAGAAAGTTATATAAGAAAAATTGACTATGGGTATTGCCATCCAAGCCAGAGAAATAAACCATGCATAAAAGAGTCAAAAGCACTGCATATCTGGTGGGAGGTGGGAGGTGGGAGGGCAGGGAGTCCAACCTGGGACAAAGTAAAGTGCAGCAAGCTATAGGATTTCCCCCACAAATCCCTCCTCTTAGCACTCCCTCAGTGGCTCCTGTCTGAGACCATGAGATGGAGTCACAGAGACGTGGAATCTAGGAGTATAAGCTGTGTATCTCTCTGTCTCTTACCCTTCTTCGGTCTCCAGCTCAGATTCCTAAAAGTGAAGAGCCCTGTCCCCCATCATGCATTACCCCTTGCACACACAGTCATTCCTTTGAACCTGTAGACTGAACAGGTACACATTTCCACACACCCATGCCACAACCACTGTATGCCCAGGTGTGTGGAAATATGTGCCCTCACCTCCCACCATCTCAGAAGTATGCTCTTGCCTCCCCGGCTCCAAGCCTCAGGTCTGTCTAGCATCACAAGTTGATTCCTGCTGCCCTCTGCTCACTTCCTACAGCCAGAGGAAGCTGGGCCGTCTAAGGCAGATGTCCTACTGGAGGTGAAGGATGAGGAGCTCTGTAGTTGTCTTTGGTCTCACTGGCATCACTGTCAGCACAACTGCATGTGTCCAGGTTTCCCAAGATCAATTGTATAAGAAGTGTTCTGTACCCCCGCTAACCCCAGGAATACCCTCACAGGTCCTCAGAACACTGCTGAAGACTTGCCTACGCTGAGGGTATGACTAGGGAAAATGGCTTTGTGAGTACGCATCTTGTTGCAATATGTGGCAATGTCTCTCCACAGGCATGAAGCTGGTAATAGGACCAGATATTCTTTGTTGAGAAGATTAAATTTAGCAGTTTTATCCCCCACTCACTAAAAGTCCATAGTTCCCCAAGCATTCAGGATAACAAAAACTGTCCTCTCTACGGTCCCAATCACCCCATCGAAAAGCAAGAGCTACGGACAAGACGCTTTTTAAGCATCAGTTGGAGTCAAGTTTCCAAAGGTTATATAAAGACTATGGGTTTTCAAAGGGAAGAGGAAGAGCATAGGACAGGACAGTGCTGCAACACTCTCTACAGTTAGAAGACTTGTTGCCTGATGCCTTTCCAAGCCAAGCAGATTTTTTTTAAAACAAGACTTGCCAAGCCTCACGACAGTCCTGTGAGGTAGGTAAGTATTATTACATCCATTAGATAGATGGGAAAGCTGAGCCCAGAGAAGCTGCAAGGGTGGCCTACAAGCCGACAGTGGACAGGAAGCGGGCAGGGTGACACCCCCCCTCTCACATTCTGTTGGCCTTGGCTTCCTCTCAAGAGAGCAAGAAGAAGCCACAACACTGTCTTTTCCAGTGTTGGTGCCAAGGAAAGAAGAAGAAAGCAGTTTTGCATGAAGGCAGCTAGAAGTTTCCTGAATGGCTGGAGGCTCTGGTGCCATGTCTGCTCTCAAAACTCTGAGCAAGGTATGGGGGCTTATACCTGTAATCCCAGCACTCAGGAGATGGAGGCAGAAGATCAGGAGTTCAAGGCTAGTCTTGGCTACATAGGGAGTTGGAGATCAGCCTGAGCTACATGAGACCTTGTCTCCTGCTCTGTCCTGAGGACTCTGAGACAGTGTCTTCAGACAAGCCAGAAGCCAGGAGTGGTGGTGCACACCTTTAATCTCAGCACTCAGGAGGCAGAAGCAGGCAGTTCTCTGTGAGTTCAAGGCCAACCTGGTCTACAGTGAGCTCCAGGCCATCTGGGGCTACGGGGAGACCTTGTCTTAATCAAAAAAAAAAAAAAAAAAAAAAGCAGGAGGGCAATTTGTACTCTAGCCCCCAATGGGTTCTGGGTAAGGAAGGATGGAAGGAGAGGAGGCAGGGAACTGTGAGCCCCTTGACTTGAGCAAGAGGTACTGGCCATAGCCTCAGGCACTCCACGAGTGCTATTGTTCCTCAGTCTTCACCAACTTTCACCTTGGGGGAAGCCTGCAACTGCTTCTGGGCAGAGCCCTGAAGCCGTCCTCATACCCACTCCCATCTCCAAGATGGAGAGCTTCTCCTCTCCATCTTGTGTGTAGGGAGAATACAGAGTGTCAAAAATCTAATGGAGACCCCTAGGATTACATCTTGTATATCACTGGGACCCACACAATCAAACCCATCTGAAGGTCCTACATCTGATACCATCTGTCTCTGTGTCAGAGACAAGGATGGGAGCACCTTGCAGGTGTCTCCAAGGTGCCACCAGTCACATCATTAATATAACTCCATGACCTTGGAACAGGAGCTGGGAACCCCCACTGGAGTCACACCAGACTACGCAGTTGGGTCAAGGGGCAAGGGCTGGAGAAAGAGGGGATAGGAGCCAGGGCTCAAGTAGCTAAGGCACAATCTAACTCCAGGGGTGTTCAAATCAGTTCTGCAAGAAGCAAAAAGTGGGGGTGCCCTCTCCCTGCTCCTCCTCCACATCAGGGTGGGAGAGGAGCTGGCCCAGTTGAACAAGAAGCAGCCAGAAAAGCCAAGGGCCTTCTCATCTGAAGAAGAGGGTCCCTGAGGCAAAGGCAGACCCAAGGCTCAGGTGGGCAGCCCTGGGGTAAGGGCAGCCCAGGAGAGCTGGAGCGACATAGGAGAAGCAAACCAATGGGATGGGAGCTTCCAGAAAGCCAACCCTCAAGTAAAGTCCAGCAACACCAGCTGTTTGAAGAGAAGGGGAAGAGTGGAGGAAGCTGAACTCTGGGAGTGTGGAAGTGGCATGGTCCTGCCATGCCAAGGGTAAGGGCTGCCCACCTTGAAGTGTTGGGGTACATATTCCAGTGGTTGAGAGATCTGGGACACTATCTCTCCCACCTCTGCAGTCCAATTTCCCCAAGGAGAAAACCCAGGAAAGATGCATATAGCACTCCGGTGTTCCAAGAAGGATCAAGGGGTCCCTCTACGAGCCTCCTCAGCAGCCCAAAGAGCAGAAGTGGGCTGGGTAGGCTAGGATCCTCCAAGACCAAGGCAGCCAGGCCTAGCAGGATCTAGAAATTAAAAGCAGGGCATGGAAAAGGGAGCTGGGACAATGTGGACAGGTGTTCCAGGGTGGGTGAAATAGAAGTTCCCCTATGAAGAACTTTCTGGAAATCAGATCTCCTTCAAAGCCCAGATTATCTCCCACAGTGGCCTGATACCAGCAGACTCCACCTCAGAGTCCCAACACACTCCCACCATCATGAGTGCTCACCCTTCCATCTCTAAGGCTCAGCTTTGGGGACAGCCCTCACTGATACCTCCAATTCTCTGGTGAGAAATCAGAAGGAAAAGTGAGGGGCTATCAAAGAGGTGGGGAGCCTGAAGGAGACCCCATTTTCCTACATGTCAGGGGACCAACCCTTCCACACTGCCCCAGCCCCTTTTCCCTTTCCTGGACCTCCCCCAGGCTCCCTCCCCCAGCCAGCTCTTGTCCTTGGAAAGCCCCAGCTAGAGAGGGAGCAGGGAAGTTTGGGCAGGACCTGCTCCTTCCTACTCAAAAAAGACTACAGTTTGAGCCAAGCAGCAGATGTCTCAGTATGTGGGTTCCACAGACAGGATGCAGGCATCAATGGCACCATCAGAATTCGAGGTTCCTTGGCTGCTTGGCCCCAAACAGGACCTCACACTTTTGTGGGTGGTTTCTCTTCTGCCTTGGAGCCAGGCAACCCATTTTCTGTGTTGTCATTTCCTGAAGAACTCACAAGACACTCCTTCCTAGAGAAAGAGAGAGGGGGGAAGAGATATTGGTGAAGGGAGAGAGGATGAACTGGTGAACTGGGGATGGACATGGCTTCCAATGCCCAGCCCTGCACCCTCTCCCTCTCCCTGGTCTGTTTGTTTGCTTTCCAGATAGGGTCATGTGTAGTCCAGGTCACTATCTAATGGCTGATGAACTTAGTACTCACCTTGCCTCCACTTCCCAAGTGCTATGATTACAGGAATGAAACCACCATTTTTATGTGGTGGTTTATATGGTGCTAGAGATTAAATCCAGGACTTCATACATGCTAGACAAATACCTTACCAACTGAGCTGTGTCTCTAGCTCTCCCTAGCTTTCTAAAGCTAAGGGAGGAAGAGGCAAAGTCACAGAACTCTGTGCCCACATTCCTTCATCTATAAAATAGGCCTAGAATGATCCTATCTTCATGGGGTTGTTGTAAGAACTAAAAACATACGAGAAGGGTAGGGGCAGGTGGAAAGGGCTCACTAAGGCTTAGCTAGTCTGATGTCTTCACACGGCAGATCCAAGGGTACCAGGCACCATTCCCAGAATACATATCCAGACTGTGCCATCCCAGGGCCTAAGGTACAGGCCACCAGGGAATGCTCTGGGAACACAGAGCTCCTCCCCATAGGGCCCAGCTCTGTGACCTGAGGTGGAAAAGAGATTCTATAGAAGGGCAGGGCAGGCATCAGGTCTGGCCTCAAGGATGACAGGTCTGAGAAGGTGGTGGACAGGGTGGGAAGGGGAGATGTTAGGTAGGGAAGGCACCTCCTGGGAAAGCCACACCTTTCTACTTTCCTAGAGTCCCTCCTCCTTAGGCAAAGGCAGACTCATGTGACAGACCTTATGTGAAATGCCCCTTGCATTTTACTTTAACACAAGGTTTTCCTCGATGCTTCAGGGACCCTCTCTTGGGCTGCCCTTTGCCCCTAGCCTCTTCTCACCTAGTACCTCTGCTCCACTGAAACCACAAGGGCCCTGTATGGCCTCACCAGCTACCTTGAAACCAGGGCTCCTGGGTCTCAAAAGATCTGTCCCCAACCCCTTTGCACGGGTCTCCCATTCCTCCATTGTCCTATAGACCCAGGCTACTGCCCAGACTCTGCCTTAGCTCTCAGAGAATCCTCTACCAGGAACACCTTCCTCTTCCTCTCCAGGGATGAGATGGTATCTTCCAAAATATCCCGTGTTGCCCCATCTTTGGAAGCCCACAGCATTCTGCAGTGCCTTTTTGCTGGCACGGATCCTCTCTACCTTGTACCACATTTATTCTTGCACATAACTCATCTTTTTTACTGAAGAGCAGAATCCCGTTCCTTCCAGAATGTTCTATAGCACCTGGAACAGTGCCTTGTATACCATATCTCAAAAATTAGCCATCAAATAAAGTCATGAGCTACAGGTATGCCCAATGAGTCAGGAGGATGCAGTGTCAGTGGTTTAGGGGTTGAGGGTTGATTTCAGATTTCCAATCCTAGCCCCATTATTTACTAGCTGTGGGGTCTTAGGTAAGTCACCTAAACACTCTGAGTGCAATTCTAAGATAAAAAGGATGGGTGTTGTATAAAAATGCCTAGTGGTTGGGTTTAAGGCCTATTCCACAGGATAGAGCCCATATCTGGTCACTAGATAGGTCATGGGCCCCAGGGAAGAACCTGTTACTAATACTCTACTAAGTTGACATAGTATTGAATGACTCTTAATGTCTTATTGCTATACCCATAGATTATTGCATCTCTCAACCTTCATCAGAAAAGCTTCTTCTTTCACCAAAAGGCAATTGACACAGAGATCCACAACTGGTCAACATGTAGAGAATTAGAGACTGTGAATTGCTCAGTCCTAAATGGGACATCTATATCACAGCCCTCACTCCAAGACCCGGGGATCTTTGAGGAAGACGGAGCAGAAAGACTGCAAGAGCCAGAGGTAGTAGATGACTACAAGGAAATGGTGTTTTTTGGACAGCAGGGCAGTTACATATATGAACTCACAGTAATGGTGGCAGCATTCATGAGACCTCCTCAATCTCAAGTCAGACAAAATCCCAGCATGGAGTGGAGGGAGGTGGGCATGAGGTCCAGCTAAGGAGCTATTGGCATTTGATGGCTGATGGGAGAGGAGGTCAGTTTTCTTTAAGGGTGTGGCCCCTGATAGGTTGACCACGCTCCAGGGCAGGTTCCATAACCAAGAGTATTTGGACAACACAAATTGGACTCGATGGGAGTGGGGAAGAAGAAAGTTGGGTGAGTAGGAAGGTAGGGCTGGATCTGAGAGGAGTTGGGGTGAGGAATAAGATCAAAATTCATTATATGAAACTCTCAAAGAATCCATAAAAATATTTTAAATGCCTAAAGTATAGTAGTCATTTGCTGGATAGCAAGAAGAGTTCCAAGCTCTAGCACTTTCCTGATCTACCACCCTCCTAGCAAGAAAACCATAACCCCGCATGCCTTGTGTTTTGTTCTGTTTTGTAGGCAAGCGCTCTCCCAGTGAGCCACCTCCCTGGCTCAGCAAAGCCAGGGGGAATCCGTGCTACCAGGGGGAATCACTGCTGCTTTTTCTAAATGCTTTCAAACCGTATATTGAAAACTTTGTCTTCCAATTCTGCATTCCATCCACGGAAAAGCAGAACCTAGTCAGGTTCCATATTTCTGACCCCTCTCAAGATGGGCAAGACTCTCACAGCTTCTGGTCACAAGAGAGGCAGACAACCCTCAGTCTTCATCCTGGCCAATGTCGGGGGGGGGTCTTTCCTAGAGTCCCCTCCATGTCTCCAGCTTCCTGACCATCTTATCAGTGCAGTTTCTGCCCTCTCCAGCCAGATTCTCCCTTCTCAGCAGGGCAGAAGCAGCAGTGAGGACTCTGCCACATCTCAGCCTCAGATCGCCACTCTGTTCCAAAGGCAGCCCACCTCATTGTGTGCCTTTCCCAGAACAGGGCTTTCTACTGCCTTTTCTCTGCTCTGGCACCTAATACTACCTTCTACCTGATACTGCTCCAGAAAATTCTGGACCTGAGCCTTACACCCTCTGTACCTGCTCATCTTTCTCCTCCTGCTAGTGCTGAGGTGGAAGGCAGGATCTCACACATGTTCGGCCAGCCCTGTACCACTTAGCTGTACCCCGACTCTTAGATGTCTGTTATTAAACCTAAACTTACTCTGGGGCTTCCTGAGAGGCCACATCACATTTTTTTACTTTATTTTATTTACTTATTTATTTTTTGAGACAGATCTTCACCGTGTAACCCAGGCTAGCCTTGAACTCTAGGCCATCCGGTTTGTCTTTGGACTACTAAAATAAGCATAAGCCACCATGCCCAGGCTTCAGGCTTTAGTTTTGTCTTTCCCATTTGAATTTTCAGAATTTCTCAGTAGGCATCTCCAATCTCCCTAAAAGGATCTTTCCATTTCAGAGTTTCTCTACATGGACTCATATTTTTCTCTGCTAAAAATGAAAATAAATAAATAAATACATACATACACACATACATAAATAGGCTTCCTAAATCCCTTGGTAGGCTTTAGGTAAAGAGAAAGGTTAATGGGATGGGATAGAAGAAAGTGGGATGAGGAAGAACAGGTGGAGGGAGGTTGGGAAAGGGCGGGGAGGTGGGGCAAGGGTTGCAGGACAGTGGCAGGATCAGCAAGAAGTGGGGGACAAGGAGTCAGAGGGGCACTGCAGGCTGGCAGAGGGCAGATGGAGGGGGACTCTAGGGACCACAAGACGAGAGGGGCAGTGGTCTGGTGAGCACATGAGTGAGGCGGGGGCTTTATCAACTCACTTCTTCTCTCGGGTCTTTTTGAGGATGAAGGTGATGAATTTCTTCAGCAGGAGGATGCAGACCAGGAGCCCAATGACCCCACCCACCACTGCCAGGATAATGAGTGTCACTGTGTTGTCCACTTCTTCCACTGGAGGAGGGGCAGAGCAGAGAGAGAAGGGTGAGAGATGGGAGGAGTCATATGAAGTCAGCACAAACACACACAGCCCCCACCCAGGCTGCCATCCTCTCAGGTCTACAGATACAAGAGAAGTTAGAATGTAGAACCCAACAGGCTAAGCACACCAAGGGGCCTGGTCCCCTCACCACCCCCACCTCCTCCACAGACTCACACACAAGTTCAGAAATAAACCATAATGGGATCCTAAAACTCCCTGCTTTGAGTCACAATGTGCTCCTCAAATTGCTCCATGAGAATTCCATCCTTGTAGGCAAAAACTCCACCTCTCACTGCCTTCAGATGTCCCTACTCTGTGTCACCTCTTCCAGTGAGGCCTTCCCTGGCCATCCTGTGAACCCTCATCTTCCTTTACCACTTCATCTCTTCTACACAACACCACACACATTCTCTCACGAGGTGTACTCTTTAACTGCATTGCTCCCTCAGCTACTCAAGGAGGAAGCAAATCCCCCAACCTGGTCATGCTGGACCCTGAGCCCCCAGAACCACCTCTGCCACTTAAATGGATGGTTGAATAGCTCTACAAACAGAGGAAATCCACCTCACAAAGACCCTGTGAGGAGCCATGGAGCTAATATGAGAAGTCTAACTCAGTGCCTAGCACCTAGAAAAGCTCCGTTGATGTCGGTCCTCTTTCCTTCTCCCTCCTGTAAAGGCTGAGTGCAGGGTAGAGAGACAGGAAGGAAAGTAAATGAGGGAGAAGAGGTGGACCTATGTGGCAACCTGACCCCAAGCTCATTGCCTCAGGCGCTATCCTTGGAATAGCCCGAATTGAACTCCTGGGGGGTTGGGGTGAGGCTCACAGAAGGCAGCATAGTTGAGATATTGAGCAGTCTCCTTCCCATGCCTCTGCCCACATCCCTCATCTTCCAGGCCCCTCAGCTTCCAGGGGCCCAGCCTAACTTCTCTCCTGTTTAGCAGCTTTTGTTGCTCTAGCTACCTCCATAGGCTGGAGTCATGTGACCACCTGGCTCCTTGTCACAAGTGTCTTCATGATCTACGGGGCCCACCTGTGTCCAATTCCAGAGGGGACAGACCCTGCCTTATTCCATCTGCCTCTCAGGAGCCTCTACTGGCTGTTGATTCTGCTGCCCCATTTTCGTTAACTGTCCACTAGTCTTTTGTCCTGCCCTGAACCAAACATTCCTCAAGCAAGAACACCGTATCTGTTACCACACCCTTTAGTATAACACCTGAGAGCCATCCAAAGCTTGCTAACACAGTACAAAGTTGCAGGAACAATCCACCTATACCAAGAGAGCCTAATGCTGCCACACACTCCCAGATCACTCCTCTGGCCCACACAGCCACTCTGGCAGAGGTTGCCATGTGTCTATTTCATAGACCAGGAAAACAAGGCTCAGAGAGACTTGGTGTCATCCATAAGCCACTCAGTAGCTGACTTTCTTCTAGTTTCCAGAGGTACCGGTAACTCTCTCCAATGTAGCCCATGTTGCCATTTCAAGGTAACATGGAGGCAGGCACCCCAAGTCCTACCCACTCCTCATCCTCCCCGACTGCATACATTTATCAACCACTTGGAGGAAGATGGTGGCAGAGTTAGCCAAGTCCTTCTCCTTGGGGTTCCTCACGTAGCAAGTGTATTTGCCGGTATCACTGAACTCCAGGTCACGCAACTGAATGGAAATGTTATTCATTTTCTCCTTAGTGGAACCCTCCAGGGTGATTCGGTCATCCTCCTTTACCCTCACCTTGGGGTCTGACTTCTCGTTCTTTACAATGCCATCTATGAGCTGGGGCAGAAAAGGATGGGAGTCATTAAGTGTCAAGACATCATCACAGCACCCTCTCTTAGGTGCCAGCCCTGTCCAGGTCCAGGAAGACCCTTCAGTAACATACCTTGCCCATTTTCATTTCCTCTGCCAGTGCCAATAGCTCTACCTGGCTAACCTGAATTCTGCCCATCTCAAGCTAATCCTTCCACTAAGTTCTCCCTGGACTGCAGCATGCTGACTCCTCTTTTCATAAAAGCCTTTTGCACAATGGCTCTGTTAATCACACACACACACACACACACACACACACACACACACCAACCTTCACTCTGCATTTCCACTCAGCCTTTACTTATGCTATGTCCTCTGTCACACTGAATCCTGTCCCTTTGTCAGGACGTGGATCAATGCTACAGCTCTATTCATCAGCACCCTCTGAGGCTAGTGTCTAATTCTACTCAGAGCTGGACTCTTGGGGCTTCCCCAGTTACTCTGGGAGGAGATTCCCTGCCAGACTACAGAGAATTCTGTAAACACCTGTGACCAGTTCACCCCACTCATCCAGTTTCTTCTCCTTTCCTTCAAAGTGATCCCCATCCCTTGCTCATTTTGTCTCCAAGCCTTTCAAAGGTGTTTCTCTCGCATGTTTGTTAATATTGATTTTTATGCAAGCAGCCCAAATTCCAGATTTCTCTTAAAACCAGACAGTGAAATCTAGCCAAAAATTCCAACAGACCCCAAAATCTGGCATCACCATCTGAACACTCCTCCTACCCAAACCCTGGGAGAAAGGAATAAAAGGTGGATTCTTGGAGTCATTGTAATGGAGATCACAAGGGACTAGCAGCTGGAATGGAAAGCACCCATGGGTGATGAACAGACACAGGAGGGAGGACACAGGCACCCCACTTACAATCCTGTAGACATCGGTGTTATTGTAGTTCCACCTGAAGTAGAGGTTCTCGAAGCCAAAGCAGCTGGAGAAGGTGCAGGGCAGCAGGATGGCCGAGCCATTGACAGCATAGATGGTGGTTGCCTTTCCCACAGACACCTCCAGCGACAGGCACATGGGGAGCAGGAAGAGGCCTGTGTGAGGAATATGGCCTCCCTTAATAAAAACCCCACCAGGAGCTCTGGGAGGGGATGCTCTGGCAGGGAAGAGTGGCTTGGTCGTTCAAGAAGGCCTTTGGAACCCTCGAGGTCAACTTCAGGAAGACAGTTCTCTCTACAGCATGTATAGGACCTGAGCCACCCATTTCAATATCCATGTCACCTGAACGAGACTAAATTCTAGGCCTCTCAGTGGCCCTGTGGTATTCTGGATAACCACAAGGGGTCACCCCAAACCAAGAAAAGGAGGACCTGGCGGGCTTGCAGGGAACCCGCAGCTCCATCCCCTCACTTTGGGACGCAGCACCCCTCCAGTGCAGGCGAAGTGGCCGGGTTCCATCCTACCTGCACAGTTTGCAACTTCCATAGGTTGGGGTGCGTCCCTCGAAACGTTTGAGGGGTTAGAGATTGGGGGACAGAGAAGAGCGGGTCTCGTCGTGTGGAACAGGAAAAGTGCGGCCGCCGCAGTCTCCGCCTTTGGGCTCCTGACGGCTGGGGACAGAGGGACATCGCAGGCCTGGACCTTGCGGGGCTAATGAGCCCAGGGCCTCCTACTGCCCAGTAGGATCCTGAGAGAGGAGGACCGACCTGGCTGGGATTAGACTACTTGAAACGGACGCAGGTTGGAACCAGAGACAGCGAGGGCGCAGGATGGAGCAGAGAGAGCCAGATCTGCTGCTGAGGCCGATTCCGATCAAGTGCCAGGCTCACGTGTAGGGTGAGGGGCTCCACAGTGTACCCCTGTTCCCGCCTATTCTGGAGACGCCTCCCCAGCACCCCAGTACCCACGCTGTGCCCTCTCACCCCAGCAGCCACGGTGATGCGCCAAGCCCCTGGCACCCCTTCCGCAGGGCATCCCTCTGCCCTTACTTAGGCTTTGCACACGTGCCCTCCTCCTGGATGCCTGTAAAATGTCTGACCCTTCTCCATTCTGGCACCTTCCTCAGGGAAATCCCACGTGCCTCAAGGTCGTTTCGCAAAGCAGAGAGGGGAGTCTGCAGGTGGATGCTTATTATCTTCCTTGCCCGAGGGGAACGGAGCACCCACTCCCATCTTACTTCTCTGGAAAGTCCCTTGTTGTCTATATTAATTCCCTCCTGCTGCACCATAAATTAGTTTGCTCTTGTTTTGCCCACAAGAGGTAATGAAGATGCTTCCAAATGACAGGAGCTCCCAGCAGAGCTGGCAGCCTGCACCCTCTCTCTAGTATCCCCTCACCTTGTGCCCCCTTTGCTTCTGGATGCAGAATGACTGCACCCCCACCCTAGCCCACCAGGTCAGAAAACACATTCTATGGCCCAGTAACCCAGTCCTGACCCCTGCTACTGTCTACAACGGCAGTATAGCACATATTTGTAGAGTACTTGCTGTGATTGACACCTCTCAGCCTGCTATTATTCCACCATGGCATATGATTATAGATCATCTGGAGACAGGTGGAGCCTAGAGAAGTCCAGAAAAAAACTCCCCTCAGGTTAATCAGGAAGACAGTTCCAGCATTCCATAGTCCCAAGCCAGAAATAGCCAGACTTTGTCCACCATGGCTCCAGTTTCTGCTAAGACGTTATTTCAATTAGCCTGTGTATATGTCTGTCTCTGTGTCTCCATGTGTCCATGTATCTCTGTGTGGCTGTGCATCTGTGTGTGTGGTATGGTGTGATATGTACACACGCATCAGAAATAATTGCAGAGCCACAGTTTTCAACATTGATGCAATTCAGAATCACCGGGGGACAGGTACAGCCAGCTGTGGGGTGGCCCTTGTAGCAACTGACTGGGTTAGTCTTCAGAGCCGGCCTCTCTCACCACACTTGAAAACCACTATGCTAGAGGACTCCCACACACTCACTCCAACTTTTAATAGGGTACCAAGGGGTAGGTTTAATTTTTCTCATTTCACAAATCAGGGGCTGGAGAGATGGCTCAGCGATTAAGAACACTGACTATTCTTGCAGAAGACTCAGGTTTGAATCCCAGCACCCATATGTCCCTGAGTCTTTACTCTGCAGTGCCCTCCTCATCCTCGGCTGGCCTGACTGAGTATTCACTGTAAAGAAGGCATGGGAGGGGACGCTTTCTAGAGAGCTTTCTTTGTGCTGACCCTACATTCTGGCAGTTGCTTTACTTCTGGTTTTCAAACTAGTTGTCACAGCAAAACCCTTACATGTTTATATTAAAAGCATATGTACATATTTAGAAATAATAAAGTTGATTTTGGTCTTTAGAAATGAAAATTCTTTGGGGCTGGAGAGATGGCTTAGTGGTTAGGAGCACCGGCTGTTCCTGCAGAAGACCTGGGTTTGAATCCCAGCACCCACATGGTAGCTAACAACTGTCAATAACTCCAGTCCCAGGGGATCCGACAGCCTCTTCTGTCCTCTGCAGGCATTGTAGGACACAGATGCACTTACCTACATGCAGGCAATACACACATACACATAAAATAAAAATAATAAAAAATTTTTTAATTAAGGATCAAAGAGGTAAAGTGATTTTTCCCAGTGGCCACGTAGTAAGTGACCACTTTGGAATTGTGTACTCATGTTATGATAGGATGGCTATTTTTATATAGACTACATCATTTAATCCTTATCCTAATCTATAGTTATTCTTCTTATTGCTAGTCAATTGCTCAAAGAAATAGACTCATAAAGGCCACATACCAGGAAGTGGACAGCCAGTACTCAGAAATATACCTGCTTTCTCCTCTCCAAAAGAGCCATTCTGTCAGGGCTCGAAGCCCCTGGTTCGTGTTTCACCTCTACTGTCCTCTACCCTAGCTCTCCCCAGAGGACTAAGGACAGGAACAGCCCTAGGTGCCTGCTCTTCAACCTAGAGCCTGCACTAGAGGATGGGAGCCTGAAGCTCTGCTCTCCTCTTCCCATAACCCTACAAACCCAGGTTCAGAATGCAGAGCAGAAGACAGGAAAGCACTGAAAGCATCTTCCAACTCAGGGAGATGGCTCAGTAGATAAAAGTGCTTGCCATGTAAGTGTAAGGACTTGAGTTCGAATCCCCAGAACCCATGTAAAAGTTGGATATGCAGCACAAGTGTCAGTAATCCTAGCACTTTATGAGGAGATGGGAGGTAGAGACAGAATCCCTGGAAAATTGTGAGCCAGCTAGCCTGGCATCTGCAGTAGAGAAACAACAGAGACCGTGTCTCAAACAAAGTGGCCAGGGACCAAGATCATCCTCCAACCTCTATGTACAAGCTGCATGCCCACATTCACACACTCAAATGCACACACACACACACACACACACACACACACACACACACACATGAAAAAAGTTTCCTGAGCTAGATGTGATGGCTGACATCTGAATTCCCAGCACTCAGAAAGCTAAGACAGGAAAATTGGTATGATTTCAAGGACAGCCTGGGCTGCAGTGAGACCCCGGCTTAAGAAAGAAAAAAAGGAAGGAGGGAAGGAAGGAAGGAAGGAAGGAAGGAAGGAAGGAAGGAAGGAAGGAAGGAAGGAAGGAAGGAGGGAAGGAAGGAAGGAAGGTATGTTGGTTCTTGGTAATTACAGGGCTCCAAGGAACTCAACAATCATGTTCCAGTGCTCACTGGTACCTAGTCCTGGGAACTAGGGTCCTGGCAAAGGCAAAGATGGAGTAACTAACTCACATCCAGGGTCAAATTCCTCCCTCCCAACTCCAGCTCAAATGAGCTATTCAAGAGCACAGAGGTACATCAAAAGAGAAATGAGGTTTTTTGTTTGTTTTGAGGCAGGGTCTCATATAGCCTAGGCTATCTTGGAACTCATTATGTAGCCAAGGATGACCTTAAACTAACTGTTCATCTTTCCATGACCACCTCCCCAGGTGCTGGGACTACAAGCACGTACCACCATGACTGTTTTGGGAAAATGCTTTTGATTGCTTTAAATAGATAGAAACAGAAAAAAGCAAAAAGAGTCCCAAATAGAAAACACTATTTCTTTAAGTTCTAGCTCACCACATAGTGCGTAATTCTGCCTGATGCGAATGACTTGACTCTGATACACTCAGGACTCTTGGAGTGGCTGAGTGAAGAAGCACTGCTGTGTCCTCCATAGCCTGGAAGGGATAATGGAAACTGGCAGAGATGATTTCCACAGAGTCTTCCCCGCCCAGGTGGAGACCTGAGAGATGGTAGGCAAACTGTCTTCTGCACAGCACAACCCATCCAGTCGGGCACCAGAAAGTCCTGCCAGCTGCATCTGGGAGGTTGGTGCTTTGGAAAACCTGGGACTCCACAAGCCCTCACTTGTGAGACTGTGCGTGGGGGAGAAGGAAGTCTGGTCATGATCCACTAAGGGCCCCCTGGAGGGCTGCTTCAGCAGGTTGAAGGCTGAAATGTGAAATGGACTGGTCAGCAGGCACCAAACAGGCCCCAGTCTGCCTGCTGACCTTGAGAAAGTCAGCGGTGCCACATCCATCCTGCGCATCCTCAGAGCAGGGCAGGATGGCTGTAAACTTTCCCACCTCTCAGCTTGGTGGGAAGCCAAAACGTGAGCCTGTAAGGAGCTTCCTAGAGGAGAGAAGAATGGTGTTTGAAAGCAGAGATAGGGACAGGACTGCCCCCATCCCAGTCTTCGACATAACCGGGGCGCCACCAGCTTTCCTTAATGACCACTGTCAGCCGAGACAGCCTCCAGGCTGCTCACATTGATTTGTGCTTTCACCCTCTACCACATTTTGGATTATTTCCAAGTAGTTATTTCTCTAAGTAAAGGACTTTCTTGCTTTACCCTAAACCTGTCTCTTTAGAATGCCAGCCCCACGTTGTGGGTATACTTGCAAGTTGGGGTCCCCTAACTTCCCACAACACCCCCGAACTGTGGGACTGATGAAGAGGTCTCCCCAGCCAGGGTCCTGTGGAATTCTATCCTCAGTCCCACAGCTTTGCTTTTCCTAAGTCAGTTAGCCATCAGCAGCCATCTTCAGAAGTTCCCCCGTCCCTGCTACGCTGCTGAGACTTTGTCCAAAGAGAAAGACAGGCTTGGGATTCTCAAGTTGTACCAAAGGGTTTTGTCTTGGTTTGGTTTGGGTTTTTTGTTTTGTTTTGTTTTGTTTTTTCAAGTATTTAGGGACTATGGAGGCAGCTCAAAAGTAAAGTCCTTGCCTAGCAAGTATGAGGACCTGAGTTCAAATACCAAGAACCCATGTAAAAGTAGAAGATACAGCAGTGCAGGCTTGTAATCCCAGAATTGGGGAGGCAACGAGAGGAGGATCAAATGAGAGACCCTGTCTCAAAATGGAAGGGGTCCTGAGGAATGACACCAAAGGTTGACTTCTGGCCTCTACGCACATACCTGCACACATATGTACACTCACATGAACACATACATACCAAAAAAATATATTCAGCACATGTTTTTAAGTATTCACACCAGCAGGATTTCTATGAACACTACTGTACATTTCAAGGTCAATACTAGGCTGCAAACCATTCCATCACTTCTCCCCCAAGTCCCCGGATCAGTAACACCCAGGCCAGGGCAGGGGGTAGAAAGAGGACAGGATGGTGCCTGCTCTAAGTTTAGCTCCAAGGATTTGCTGTGCATGGCAAGCAGAAACTCAGCTGAGACACTCTGGCCCCGGGAAGGAGGAAAGGCTCAGTTAGAACAGGGTGGAAGAAAGTGGGCCGAGGGCAGCAGAACAAGGACCCCTCCTGAGATTTAGGCCCTGGGGGCATCAGAGGTAGTACTGGGCCAGGCAAGGCCTCTGGGCCCTTGCAAAGGAAAGATTTCTGCTTCCTCGCCCTAGGCAACCTGCCTGCCTGTTTCCTGCCCACCCCCAGGAGCTTTGCCAGGATAGAGGCATGCCCCTGAGACAGCACTGGAAGCTCAGTGAAACCAGCTTTACAAACAAGTCCAAACAGTGCGTCTGTCCTACCTTTTGGTGGTGTTATCAGACATCATCCATGGCTTATGACAACATACCTACAGCACCTTGAGGCACCAAGCCAACAGGCAAGGTGTTTCCTGGATCCTATAATGCTGATCCTACCAGGAGGTGGCCAGTCATAAGGGCTTGGGGACCCAGCCTTCTCTGTCCCCACAAGCATGTTTCCTGTGGATCTGAAGAATTAATCATCTTTTCCAGATGCAAATTGCCCTCAGCCTTCCTCCCCTCTTCTCCAGTGTCTCCTGGCTTACCCTTGCTGGTTTCTTCCTGAGTGGGACTGAACACTCTCTCTTTAATTGTGCTCTCATTAGACAAGCCCTTAATAAATACATACCAAGGGAAAGAGGGTTGTGCAACACAGCACCCTCACAAGTAATAATTAAACACAGATCACAGCAATTAAGCAAATCAGGAAAAAAGGAAGGGGTGCGCAGAACAATATATTACCAGTTACATACTTAGGAAGAGATGGGAACCCGTGTAAATCTCAGTTGCAACCTCAGTTGCAATGATACAGCCTTGCAACCTGCTTCTCCATCTCAGAAAAGGGTATCTTGTTGGGTTATCAAGAAAAAAAAAATCACTTAGATCTCAGTCTAAGAGGCTAAGTTTATTTGGCAAGAGAGGGATAGGACCCCTGGGACACAATCTCCCCAGCTATAAAAACAGAAGCTCTATACCCCGACCCCAGTCGATATCCTTCCATGCCATGTCCCAGAGCCTCACTCATTCTCCAGCGCTAAACACAAGCCCTACTGACCTTCTCCCTCACCAGATGGCCTCGATTCTGTCCCACTTGACCATTAATTGGTCACGTACCCTTGGGCAGGTTACCCTCCCTCTCTGGACCACAGCTTCCTCACAGAAAACGTCTTCTTATGGTTTTAAAGTCCCTGCCCACTTCTACCAAAGCTCTGTCCCACTCTCCACTCATCCTACCTCCCTAATTCTCAAGGCCCTCTTTGCTGCCCACTGAAGCCTAGTTATATGAATAGTCCAGCAATCCAAAGCGTGGCACCCCATCGGCCAACCAGACACAAAAGGTGAGGCAGCCCAGAGTATACAGTGACCACTTTAATACCTGGAGAAATTTCAGTGCCTCAGAGACCTCCTCACCCCTGTCACTGCCACCATGGAGACCTGGGCTGATCTGAGTGGGGACTTGTATGCAATGGCACTGTACACATCCCACGAAGGGGAGCCTCAGACCTCAGAGGTCCACTTCCTAAGAGTCACCGTGAAACCCTAATAACATCTATGCCAAGGCACAGGAGAAAATTCCAATGTCTTCCATCTAGCCCTAGGGAGGTAAGTAAACCTTCAGGTCAGGAGCAAAGGAATGCTGTTGTCCCTGCCACAGAACAGGTCTACACACAATTTACAGGTGCAGGAGGAGCAGCCATGGCTTCCCTTTCAGGCCTCTGTGTCCCCTGCTTCCAGGGCAAATACCTCCACCATGTGCCTGGCCCAATGGTGGGGGAAGGGAGAGCACTGCCAAAACCCAAATCCAACATATATAAACAGGAAGAGGCACAGGTGCCAGAGATGGAGTCGGGTTACATTGAAGACAGGCTTTGATTTATAAGATTACATCCTGGACTAATAAATATCATTGCCTAATAATCTCTTCGAGTTTAACACTCAACACCATGGTGTGCTTATTAATAGACATCAGTAATATCCTGTCCCTTCTGTGTCCTCCGACATGTCTCCTCTGTTTTCATAGTCTTCCCAAAAATGAAGAGCCAGAAGCAGGCCAAACGGGTCTTTCCCTCAATTGGAATCTTTTTACAAGAAGAGAGACAAGGCCCTTCTTGAAAGGTGGTTTTTTAAATGGTCCTCTAAGTCCCTCCAAGCACTGCCAGTATCTAATGTGGAGTTTTCTGGAAGGCAGAGGAGCCTAGCAAAAAAGGGGGGCAAGGAGGAAGACACACACCCAGTGTATGCTTGCTGCCTGGGAAGCTGGTAAACCGTACTAGGCAAGAGTGGCAGCCACCACCACACGAGCAACCCCCCTAACATCCCCTTACAGCCAAGGCAGCAGACCCTTCCCCCGCTGCAGCCCCAAGACCCAGCTCCAGAGGACTGAAGGTACCAGACGAAGCAAAAAAGCTCATCTAGAGGCTAGCTGGCTGGTGAGGAGAGGGTGACGGTCCCCAGGGAGCACAGGCGTCCAGCGGAAGACTGTGGTCAAGGAACTCATTTGGTGCCACACTCTCAAAGCCCACCTTGTCTAAGGTGCCCCTCTTCTCGAGTGTCCCCTTCTTTAGGGTGGAGTGGGGCGGGGGGGGAAGAAACGGGCGAGAGAAGAAATAAAGCTGGGGCTGCCTTACCCAAAAGCCCAAAGCCCAGCCATCTCTCCGGGGCTTTGCCTTGGTCCCCAGCCCGGGACATGGTCCTGTTCTCTCCGGAGCGCCCAGAGGGCTTGGGGATGGAGTTCTGGGCACCGCCGCGCTCTCCGCCTGAGGTCGGCAGTCGGCCCTGCAGCTGCCCGGGACTTCTGCACCGCGGGTCTCGGGTCGGGAAAGTTACCGGGGATAGAGCTAGACTAGGGGGGAGGACGAGGAGAGGGAAGCGCGCCCCGCCGCCTCCTGGAGCCGGCTGCGGGAGCCGCTGCTGGAGAGATGAAGGAGGAGGCGCCGGAGCTGGAGGGAGGACGCCGGAGCGAACGCCGAGGAGAGCGAGGCTGCGCCTCTGTTCTGGAAGCGCTCCAGCCGCAGGAGGGGCGGCAACCGCCGCGGAGTCCGGGGCGTCCCCACTGGCTGCGCACCCTGCCTGGTACGCGGCGGATCGCGGTCCCGGGAACCAGACTGGGCTGCCCTCTCCCTCTCGGGTCGGACTGCGATGCTGCGGCTTGTCACTGCAGGCCCGGCCCGCAGCCGCCCGCATCATCCCATGCGCTGAGCTGCCAATTAGGAGCAGAGTTCACGGGGGAGTAGAGGTGGAGCTTTTCGGCTTGTTGGAAGGCTGTTTTGTTCTGCTTAGAGAACGCGAGTAAGGGCAGCGGCTGTCTCTCCCAGGACTGCAGGAGGGATGTCCGCAGCCAGCGCTGCCGCAGCCGGTGGGCGTGTGCGGACTTGCGGGCTGTGGCCGGCCGCGTGCAGCCGAGGGACCGCACACGCCGCCTCCTGCCGTGCTGCTCGCCGGCTCTGAGGACTGCCTTTAGGCCATAGAGGAACCGAGCTTCCGCTGCAAAGTGTCCCTGCACACCGCCCACCATCCATTTCTACAGAGTCCTTGCAAACCACCGTGGTCCTGGTGAGAAAGTTGTCCACATGCAACCAATCCGCCGGTCTGTGGCCGGCGCCCTAGCTCACCGTCCCACACAGCATCCCTGCCTCGCCTTTTTCCTCGCTTAGGTCAGCCCCTTCAGTCCTCCTCTTCCAAAAGCTTCCGGTTTCCTTGGAATCTAAACTGCAGATACTTCTGCCTCCTTTTGGAGGACTCCATGCCAGAGGGCTGAGTTACAGACACTTGGAGGCATCAAGCTTTTTTCTAATAATGCTCTTTGGGCGGGGAAGAGTCAGTCAGTGTAAACAGCAGAGATGCCCCCCCCTCAAAACTCCTACTCAACTACCCAACTGTCCTTCATCCAAGACACTTTCCCTCCAGTTGACCAGTTGACACTTGAAAATGTGTCTTCGTTCCCTGCTTTGCTGTAAACACAGCACCACATCAGCCACCCACTTTCCCAACTTGGGTACCTGGAAGACTTCAGGGTCATAAGAGACCCTTGGGGTTGTATGCAAAAGTTTAAGTGTCCAAGGATTTTATTAGAGAATTTCGCTGTTTCCTTCTGCCTCCTGGTTTTCAAGGTTGTCCAGCAGCTGCTACCCTGCACTTGTTGCTGGAGACCTCCTTAACAAGTCACATAACTTTCTGGAAAACTCTGCTCCTCATCTGCCAGTGGTGAACCCCTGATGTTTGTCCTGAAGTCCTCCACAGCAGCATCACCCATAGCCCAGGGCAACAGGGACAACTGCCCTGGGTTCCTGATTTTAGGGATCATGCTGGCCTGTCTCTGCCCATGCCACTGCCCTGTGGGCAGAGTTCACAGGACCACAGCAGGGCATGCATCTCCTTCTGTTCTAAATGGTATTAGGGAATCCAGGACCCTGGAATTTCCTCCTCAGGGTGTCTGAGCAGGGTCTTCCTCGGTCTGTCCTCTGAAAGCCAACCATATCAAGCAGATACCCAAGGACCTCGGAAGTGGCCAAAAGACAGCTGTCTGAAGGCAATCCAGGATAGATGTGCTTGATGTGCAGGTGGAACATTCCTGAATATGAAATAGAGCCCCAGTAGCTGCAGGACAAACACAGAGGAGAGAAGGAAATCAGTCTGAAAATCCCATTTTGGACCTGATCTTCTAGAGTATCAGGAAGGAAAAAAAAAAAATCAATGAAAGGCAGAGGATAAAAAGATAAATTGTAGTGATTTCACCTGATTTATAACCTACATTTAGACCTGTGTACTGTTTGCACTTGTATCTTACCCTGGGTCTTGCAAACATGAAAATGGATCTAGGTGTGAAGACCCAATGACCTATGAATGCATGGTGAACACAGCACAGCTGAGCTCAAAGAAACCTGTGTGGCCCCAGGGGCAAAGCCATCTCCACGTCTTTGGGCTTGCCCTCTGCTTGCCCTAGGAGGTCTTTCCACTAGCAAATAGGGCCAGGCATACACACTGCCCATGTTATTTTTACAACAGGGTCATGTTTCTCAGAGCAGTAGGCTGAGGTGAGAGGAGGTAAGCCAAGGGGAAGGAAAGTGACCCCTGCCTGGAAAACAGGAAGGGAGGGGGGAATAGAACTCTAGGCATATCTTTAGACCCTGGTGACAGAGAAAGGTGACCATTTCCCTCCAGTGCCCCCACTTCCCTCCTCTCTCACTGTTCACTGGATTCTTTAGTTGAGAAGAAGGGTCCTTAGGATGCACTTGCCCCTCACAGATGAACACATGGGCCCGGGGATGGAAAATGTGTGGGCCAAGGTCACCTACAATGTCACAGACAAAACCAGGGTTGGTTCTTTGTTGCTATTTGGTTTCCACACTCCATATTCCTCCAGCTTTCTTCTGAAGAACACCAGGAGGGCCCCCAGCTGGGCAGAACAAGGACTTGGGAAACACATTAGTGGGCTGAGAGTTTTACATTTATAGAGCACTTCCCTCAAAAACAAAAATCTCAGAAACCTAGTCTAGTAATAGAGCTTACCTCCTCTTGAGGGGATCTAGGAACAGTGTGGTAAAGGTCAAAGTTCCTTCTCTACTACCTTTGGAAAAATTAATTCCAGATTAACTCTTCTTAGAAACCCCTAGTCACTGGGGATGGGAAGAAATGGACAGCACTTGGCTCCTTACCCTCCTCCGAGGAAAAGGGGAGCCCTAATCAGAAAACAGCCCCTGGAGTGGCCCTGACAGACCTGATTCCTGGCATGGATCATGCATGCAGGTCTGAGTGGCCTGGCTCAGAAATCCCTTGAAGTTTTCAGAGACACTGAGATAGGTTGGACTGGAGCCCAACAGCTGTCAGAGAACTGTCCATTCCCAAGCTGGCAGAGACAGAGCCCAGACCTAAGTGGAAAGAGATGTTCCCTTAGGGATTCAGGTAGGTTTCTTTGAAGGAGTTAGCCCTGGTCCTACTAGACCAGACAACTGACTCAGCAGAGAGACTACTTCCCTGCTCTCCTAGAGGACTAGAGTTAGGGAAAGGGGGGGGAGTTCCTATTCCAGGAGGGGAGCACCTAGAAGAATCAATGAAAGGGAGATGCAGGATCAGTAATAGAGGCAGGAACTCCACTGCCAGCCTCAGAGCTGTTCTGATACCAGAAGACAATCACTTGTCCAGCAGGATCACCTTCTACAGGTGACCCTGGAAGGTAGATGGAAGATAGTCTTACCCTGTCAGTTCCCAGAAAGCCAACAAGACCCTGTGTTTTGAGGAAGGGTGCAGGGAGGAAGGGAACTGGGAGAAGGATGAGGTCTCTAGAACTATTTTGAGAGGCGCTCTTTCTAAGTTGCAGGAGCCTGGCAGAGTGCCTCCTCCCCCTCTGGTTCCCCTGTTGCCCTTGCCTGCTGCTTCTCTCTCCCATCTCCTCCCCCAGAAGCCTTCATGCACTCCTATCAGAGCATTGCCAGGTAATTGCAGGCTCTTGAGCACAGTGTCATTGACTGGACTCTGGGAAACAGAAAATGTGAGCTCTGCAGAGAGCTTGCTGCACGCCCTCACCTTAGGGCCCCTTTCAGGTCTTGGATCTACACCAAGAACTGCATCTGTGCCTTGACTACCCTGAGATACCCTTCACTTGTAAGCAGGGCTCCCATCTCAGGAGATACGTCTGCAGGCACCAGATTCTCTGCATTACACTCCCAAAATTCTTCCCACTTGGGCAGGGGGTTGGGCTGATGCTGTCTGGACCAATGTTTGGGAGCCTCCTTCTGGTGCACCTGAGTCAGCTCTCAGCTCCTCCCCATCACACCCCTTCCTCCTCCCACTCAGAGCGCTCACCTCACTCACCATCCACTGACATTTGGCAGGTGCTGAAGGGGTTAACAAGACATCATGCACCAGACCGACCAGCAGGCACGCAGCTGAACAGTCCAGCTAAAGATGCTGCATGGCCAGCCCAGCTCAGCCAGCTCTCAGCACTCCCAGGGCATCAGTAAGTTGGTGTAATGCTAAACTCTCTCTAAGCCATTTTCCCAGGGAGTGTTCTATCCTTTCCTCTCATCACCTGTCTTTACTTCCTACAGGTTCAGGGCACCAGCAGGTAAGCAGTCACTCCCTTCAACCATCCTTTTTTTTTTTTTTTTTTTTTTTTCTGCCAGGTTATGTCCCAATATCCTTTCAGGCAAAGGGGGATGGGGAGCCCCAGACAGATGAGCTCATTGGAAGGAGGAAAGGGGAGGGAGGAGGGAGCTGTACCATCCTAAGCAGAACCTACTCACTGGACAGTCCCAAGCTGGAGAGGGGTGTGTGCCCGCTTGCAGAAGCAGATTACAGTTATGCTTCCTTTGCGGCAGCTCAGAGATGGGTGAGTCCTGGGCACCTCTTTCTTGGGGACCACAATGGGGTGGGGACTGAAGCTCCTGGGCAGATCCTCAGCCATCCTACCCAGCACTCCAGAGCTACATTGTTTAACTGCTTTCTGGGTCTCCATGGGCCCTACCCTTTTCCCAGTGGAAGGTGGGGACTCAAGAGGGCTGGGGGCTAGGGATGTTAGGGAGCTTTATCCTTCACTGGAGCTGCTGTTCATGAAGAGTGTTATATCAGCCGATGGTCACATGTGCTCCTGGAAACCTGGGCTGGTCCTGACCCTAAAATGGGAACCCGAGTCAAAAGTACAAAATCATGTGGCATCCCTGAGTATTCTAGTCCTGTCCTCTCCATGAACATTTGTGTATGGGTGGTGGGGGACGGTCAGAGAGGAGATAAGGCAGGGGACGAGGAAAAAAGAGGGGAGGGAAAAGAAGGACGAGGAGGTGGGAGAAGCGTGGGAGTAAGCAGAAATCTTCCTAGGGTGGAAGGCAGCTTCAGGAAGTTAGTGTGAGAGACTGAGGAGAAGGAGTGAGGACAAGAAGAGGACAGGCCAGTAGATAAGAAGGTTCACAGGCTTTCGGTTACAGAAAGAGGCACAAGGGGCCAAGAAGAAAGAAGGTGGGTGGCCAGCAGAGGCCGCCACTGTACACACAGAACCCAGGAGTCAAAGGGCCAGACCTTGTGGGGGTGGAATGTTCCGGGTCCACTAGGAAAGCTTTGCCTCTGCTCCCTTTGATCCCTACATCACCACGTCACCCGTGATCATTTTGAGATTGATTCAACTCACCCTTCCTCCACCTGCCCCTAAGTCCTTGGACTATAGAAAGCCAATCTATTGTCCTTCCTTATGGTATGATGTGATGGCCTTGGCCTCACATAGTCCTGGCCTTGAATTCAACTCTGTGATCTCCTAACCACTTTGTTTGTACATGTGTTTACTACAACAGAGCCTCGGTTTCCTCATCTAGAAGTGAGAAAGTAATGAGCATCTGAGGGTTGTCCCAATGACTAGGTGAAATTCCAGACAGAATACCCAGCTCAATGTCAGGCACAGACTAGGTGCTTAATAATAGTGGCTGATCCTATTGGTGTAACCAACTGACATTCAAGCCCATTTAGGTGGGACATGAAAACCATCCCTTGTCTTACCAACAGGGTCAGCTCCATTGGTGAGCTGCACGGTGTGAGCACACTGTGGGGCAGTAGAGGGATACATCAGACTGACAGAGCTAGGAGGGCTAAGGAGATGACAGAGAGGACTCTTATCTTTTACATGGACATGTATTCTTGTCTGGAAAGACAGGGAAATCCACTGCCCTGGCTGGCTTCAAATTTCCCACCCTTTCCCAGCCTATTTCTCACTATATATATAGGGGTTTGCCAACACTCCCACCACACCACTGCTATATCTGGTAAAGAAGACTTCAGTAGAAGTGGGGCTGGTGAGATGGCTCAGGAGGTAAAGACACCTGCTGCCAAGGCTGACAACCTGAGTTTGATTCTCAGGACCCACATGGTGGAAAGAAAGAATGGACTCTTTCGAGTTGTCCCTCTGATTTCCACACACCACACCCCCACACCCGCACAAATAGATAAATAAATGTAAAAAATAGGGGGGTATAAAGGATACAGACAAGGCATTGGAAAGAGCATAACTGAACAAGACGACAAGGTCCTGAGCATTAGACATATTTAGCTCCAAGCAAGCAAGAGTTGATTTTGCCTCTCTCATTTGAGTCTTAAAATGAAGGCTGTGAGGGTGTTTGTTAGTGTCTTCAAGGCTATCTAAAGACATACTCTGCTATTTGAATCTTCTGGACAACATCTCCAATTTATGCTTGAATACTTTCTGGAATGGGGATCTCATTACCTCGGGAAACTCAGCGTCTGCACAGCTCTTACTTTCACTGCATCAATAGCTGCCTCTGCCAGCCGGTCCTAGTATTTTGCCTTGGACAGAATGGGACAAGTCTGATCTCTGAGACCACAGCCTGTGCCAGTGTATTGGCCAACAGCTGAGATGCATACTTCCCTTCCTTGCTGAGCACATCCTCTTCCTCTGCCCTTGTACTCATGGAGGATGGGGGCAAACTGTTGGGCAAACAGTTTGTAATCCCAGTTAAGAAGCAGGGGCAGCTAGGGTTGGCATAAAGGTGACTTTGTCAGGGCTACAAGGGACAGCCTTTTTCATAGATCCTCAGGAAGTCGAGCTGGGTGTCCAGCATTTGCTTGTCCCCCTTTTCAGAGTACCTCCTGCATTCTCAAAGTCATTATTGCCAGAAAAAAAAAGCAAAGCTGCATCACCAAGTGCCCACTGCCACCTCCGTTCATCCACTCTCAGTTCATCTGTTCCCCCACCTCTAACCCCAGTACTTATCTCCCTACTCTTAGCCAGAGGTCTTTTCTATTCTGCAGGGGAATGGGGACATATCTGTATCTATATACCATGTTATGATTCAAGATTTGGATCCCAGCTGTATATCCTGCTCCTTGGTCCCAGAAGCTCTCACCTACTGGGTGGCAGGAGCCTTTCTTAAGGAGTAGCTGGCACCCTGGACACCAGGAAGAAATAGAAAGGACAAGAACCTAGGATCTTCAGGGTGAGGACCTGTGATAAGCATGGTTCTCTAAGAAGAGTCTCTTCAGTTCCTATAGAGACCCTGCAGCAGGGACCTTCTGAGCCAATGGTGAAGGCATTGAGGGCCAGGAGACCAAGTGAGACATGATTCTGCTGTCCTGCATCCAGGTGCCCACCTGCGCTAGGGTCCTCCCACCTGAAGTATGTGGGTGGCCTTCCCATGCAAAATGTGAGGGAGTGAAGAGTGACCTAAAAAGAGCCTGCATGCAAACCAACATGAGGAAAGTCAGGCTAATGAGTGTGGATCTGGGACTCTGAGGGGTGGAGCTAAACGAAAGAGGTCTTCTTGCCCATGGACAGTGGGTCAGCCTGGGGAGGGCCTCTACCTGGAAAGGAAATACCTAAGCTCTAGCCTTGCCTTGGTCATCAGTCAGCCACATGACTTTCCCTCTCTTATCCTTGACTTTGAAAATTGAGGCTATGAGGAAACATAAGCCTCTTCTATACCAACATAGGCTACCTAGGGTTGGGCAGGTCAGGAGCTGGGCTGCCATGGGCTGCTGCCCTGAGTTGTGCCAAGTGCCAGGCCCAGCGCTAGATGGGGGCAGTGGGAAGAGAAGACAGCAGCCCTGGAGCCCACTACAAAAATCTCTGTGCTTGACTAAACATGCAGCCTTAGGAAGTTCGGGTCCTCAGTTTCCCCTGTAAGATCTTGATACTTGGGCACGCATTCGTGGGGGCCCTCCCATCTTCGAGGTTATAAATATCGACTTGCATACTCCACTCCTTAAGGTCCATATTCCTATCCCACAAGTGGCTCTCTCATCGGGATAGTGAAGGAACAACTGGGTTTGTTCCTCAAGGCATCAACCTTAGCTAAGGAACTCAGGAAGCCAATGACCAATTCTGAACTGGGGATATCATAGGGTTAGTCTTTTCCCCGCAAGGCAACACAAGCTGCAATGAAAACTACCTTACCCAGCCCCAACCAGGTCAGAGACATCACTGTAGTACAGATGCCTGAATCCCATCCTCCCAGAAGCCAGGCCCAGTCCTGGTCTTCCAAGTGATCTTAGAGAAAAGTTCAAGAGGAGGAAGGTGGTGACCTGGCTGAGTGTCAGGAGGCTATGGACACCCTGGAAGGAACCAGACTCTCCAGGACCTCCTCTACTCGGTCTCTTACCTCAATTTCTCCTTCTGTTGAGTAGAAAGATACCTTCCCTGACACCCCACCCTTGGAAGGACTCAGGGGCTCCAGGGAACAGGCATCCTCCTAAACCAAGGTTCTTTCTCAAGCCACCTTTGATTAATACTGCTGCCTCCTTTCTGCTGTCTCACCCAGTAGCAACTATGGTCCCCACAGCCATTAGATTTACCAATCCTGGAATATTACTGACCACTAACTACCAGGGAGGGTCCCTGGATCCCCAGGGAACAGGCAGAAATTCAAAAGAAAAGCGAGCTAATTACTTATGGATTTCCCAGTTACTGGGCAAGTTTAAGCCGGAAACAGTAGAGACTATAGACAGAAGGTTGACTTTGGTCTTGAACTTATTTTTTTTATATTACGTTGTGTGTGTGTGTGTGTGTGTGTGTGTACATGTATCTGTACCACATGTACATGTGTAGATCAGAGGACAATTTGTGGGAATTGGTTCTGGGTCCTTCTACCTTGTGTGTCCTGGGGATCAAACGGAGGTCGTCAAGCTTTGTAGCAAGCTCCTTTACCTGCTGAGCCATCTCACTGACTCTTGAACTTCTCTTTTTAAATATTTTTATTTATTATTTTTATTTTTATGTGTATGAGTATAGTGCCTGCATGTATGTGAGTGTACCCGTGTCATGCAATGCTGTGGGAGTCAGAAGGCTTTAGATTCCCCTGGAACTGGAGTTAAGGATGGTTCATAGCCACCATGTGGGTGCTGGGAATTGAACCCAGGTCGTCTACAAGAGCAGTCAGTGCTCTTAACCACTGAGCAATCTCTCCAGCCCTGACCCTTGAACTTCTTAAGGCTGATTCAGCACTATGGAAATAGGATATATAATATGCAGATGAGACAAGAGCAACCTACTCCTCCCAGCAGCCACCCTCCCCTATCAGCGCAGACTCTGCCCAGCTGTCCTCTATCTTTCCAGAATCCAGAGCAGCCATGAGAGCTGTCTGCCTAGTCAGGCACTGTGAAGAAACGGGGAGCAGGAAGGACGGCCCATCTGTCTATAGAAAGAATAGGCAACATCCTAAGAACAGTTAGCCTCGGTGCTTGAGGGTTGTCTCCATCCCAGAAATAACCGAAAGCCTTCCCAGAAGTGGGTGCTCAGCCACCTGTCCCAGAGTGCTTCATCTGGAGGGCAGAGTCCTCTGAAGTCTGGAAGAGCAAAGAGATGAAAAGCCTATAGAGAGAGGAGTAGGTTGATCCCCTTCCTCGCAAGGCAAAAGCTTTGAGGTCTTCAGATAGACAGATCCAGTAGTACACATGGTGTTACCAGGGATGGAGCATCAGGGGCTCCCATCAGGCTCCAGGCAAAACCTTCCCCTACCCCATTCTGCACTCCTGAAAAAAGCCACACTAGAGAGATGTTCAGGGGAGACAGTGTGTTTATTGTAGCCAACATATCCAAGCAATCAGACAAACTGCAAAAGAAACCCAGTCTTCTCCCAGAAGCAGATACATCCCAGTAGTCAGGTCACAGAGGATCATTTGTTTATGTTTCTCTCCCCTCCCAACCACCACCTCCAACCACCACACTATGAAAAACCTAGACTTGTATAAGTACTTACGCAGCCAGGTTTTCCCCTAAAGAACATAAAGAACATTCCATAATGTGCCTTTGGTGAATCAATTAAAAAAACCGAGACATGATTACAATGTGACTTTTCCCACATTCTCTCCCACAATGTAAATTTTGGGGTGGGCATAGTGAGATGTTTTATATTTTGTATATATAATATATCTATACCTATATAGAAAAGCTATGTACAAATGCATCAGCAAGCTTTAATAAAGGAAGACATCGCAAGAGGCACAGCAAGGGACATAGGCTGTCTATCCTTAAGACGTATGTAGGAAGAAAGAGTTCTTGATATATCATCCATTCCAACTGCACCAAGCCATTTCTATGGCCTGGAATCATCTTCCCGGACCTGGCGAGTATTTCCAGTTGTCTACCTGCTTAACCTGACCTTGTAAATATTTACCAGCCCAACTTCCCCATGGAGACTCCCAAGGAAATGTGGATCCAGTCAGCTTTTCCTTATTATAAACTGGGAATAACTGAGGAGTCCACAGCTAGAGGGGCAGAGAGCTATTTCCAAAGCCAGTTCCAAGGCACCTCAAGGCATTTTTCAGTCCTGAAAAATTGTGCTTTGTTCTTATAAGCTAAATCCCATGGGTTAGTCAGCCCATCTCTTTGCAGTGGCCCTTAATTAGGAGTAAGTGACAGATGGGGTGTGTGGAGGGGGTTTGGAGAGAGCAGGAGAGGCAGGGGTGGTTGAGCGCAGTGCAGATTGAAACCAGCAGAGTACAGTGGTGGGAGCGTGCAGCCAGAAGTGGGCCCGAACTCCACACTGCAGCAGGAGAGCTGCTTGCTGGCATAAGCTAGGAAGCAAGGCTGAGTCGTGGCTGTTGTGGAAACACCTCACAGCTCCCCACCTCCACTCACAGAAGCCCCATTTTGCTCTTGGTCTCACTGCCCTGTGGGAGGCAGCTCTGAGACCATGCTAAGGCAAGTACCTGGGGTAGAGATGGTGTCTGACCCTGCAGTATTCGCTCTGACCCCTGAGGTACAGGAACAGACATTACTTTCCCGGGCCCGCTCAGTCCGGGCAAAGAAGAAAAAAAGACCCCAGGATCCTTCAGCTTCTTAAAGGAGACAGGATTTCTTAGAATAACCCTAGGGGATCTTGCAGGTAACCTACCCAAGTGAGTTCTAGAAAGAGAAAAATGTCCTGGCAGTGCAGATCCTCATCCTGAGAGAGGAGGGCACATATAAGGTGACCAAAAATGACAACTGCATAAATATATGCCACCACCCTTGGTCTCAGCTGGCTTGAGGTGCCCACCACCCACCTCTCCAGTCCTAGCTGTTGGCTTGAAGGACAGGCCTGGCTCCAGGCATCCTGGTGGCTTAGCCCACTCCCATTGGCAGTGTGTTAATTGGCAGTTAGGTACTGAGCCAAGGAGTTTAGAATTTCCAGAAGGGTTAAACTCACCTTACCCAGGAGCTTTCTGGCTGGGTGCCCATGCCCTACTTCACACCCACCCTACCTGGCCTCTTCAGCCCTCCTAAGTGGTACCTTCTCTCCTCCGTTGAACTCTTAACCTTCCTGAGCCCCAGGTTCTAGAGCCCCTTCCTTCTCCCCTAGCTCTCATCATGGAAGCAGTGGCTGCAGAGATGGAAGTAAATGCACCAAAAAAATGAATCTTGGTCCTACAGTGCTGATCTGGCAGTTTCCAACTCTGTTATGGCTTTGGATGCAGCCCTGGCACCCAGTACAGTGCCTGACACAGAGCAGGCACTCAATAAATGGTTGTTGAAGTGAAGTGAATTAAGCTGAACCTCTTGTCTGCTATCATTCTGTCTTCTAGTTGGCCATCTGATGGGCAGAGGCAAGGGTTGGTCCCTGAGACTATCGTGGTCTTTTCTCCACCACACTCATTTCCCAAGCCTAGACAGCTAACTCCCTGAGCTTATAGGGGCCACTTGAGCTCCAGGGAGGGTAGCAGGGCTAGATGTACCACACACATGCCTCCCAGGTCCCAGAGGGTCTCCCACCAGGAAGCTCAGTTTATTCAAACTGGAGGTGGAGAAGCCAGAACAGGGGTGGGACCCTCAGTTTCCCCATCTGTGGTAGGAGGGACTGGGCTAGTTATCATCTGAGGGTCTTCCAACATTGTAGTCTCTGCTTGGCAGTTTCTGCCTGCCTTTCTCCCTCTCTCCAGGCTTAAACAGTTTCCTCAGAAGGAGCAGAACAGCAGTGAAGTTGGTGTCCCACACACGCTACTTTCTTCCCCACAAAGTGAGCTGTGGGGCAGGGCTCAGAGGCTCCAAAGCCTCCTCTCACACTTCCCTCCGGCCTTCCCTATCTTCCTCTTGCCAAAAGTCAGATGAAAGCCCTGCAGAGGGCAGCTGGAAACCCCCAAATTGAAGCCCTGCTGGAAGTTGCCCCCTACACCTAGGGGCCCCCTCAGTTCTGAGCCTCGGCTCCTGCTCCTGCTCCTGCTGGTCAGGGCCTTGTCAGAGAAGGTAGTCTTGCAGCCAAACTTTTTTCATGAAACCCCTTGGTCCCTCAGCCAGTTTTTGACCCAGGACTCTTGTTGGTGAGTCCTTAGGGTGGGGCACCATCCTACCTGCAGCTGCTTTTCCAGTATTGTCCCTGCCAGCATCCCCCAAGCAACCAGTAGCCAACAGCAAACCAGAGTCTCCTGGGGGAGCAGCTAACAATGGAAACAAGGTCAGAACAGAGCTCCCCGGGCCAAGCCTCATGTCCAGACCTGCCTCAGCCATAGCTTTCCTTGAGTGCCCTGGAAATGCACAGTCATCCCTTTAATATGCCCCCACAAAGGTTAGGATCCCACCTTCACCCCAGCCTGATAGTTGATCTGGGCTGGGAGCAGCCAGAGGAGCACAGCAAAGCCACCACGAGGCCTTCCCAAGATGACCCTGGTCAGAACAGGACACCCTCCCCACCACCTCCCAGTCCTCTCTGAAGCCACCACCAAACCAAGCCCTGGGCGAGATGACCTCTTTCTCCACTGCCCTCCCCCCATCCTTTCTTTGGGACTCCATGCATGCCTCCCGACTTTTCAGAGACTGGCAGGCTGGAGCCCTTGTCTGCTCTCCCCAGGGCCCACTCATCCCAGATGCATGGCAGTTCTCAGATGGAAGGGAGGTGGGTCACCCTTGGTATAGGGTGGGGGATGGGAAGTGAGGTGCTCAGGGAGGCCCCAGGTTGACCCCAGGACCCTATTCAAGAGAAGCACACCAACAGAGGGCAGGCAGGGTCACACTGTACAGGGCAGAGAGTGGGGGGAGACAGGACACAGGGAGGGGCTTTACGGCACCGTCAGTTACTTGGTGCCATCGTCTGCGTTGCCTTCGCCATCCGTCTTGCCCTCCTCCTCAGTCTTCAGGTCATCTGTGCTGAGCTTCTGCTCTTTTTTCCTCCTCACACACTTGACCACCATCAGTACCAAGATAACCACAGCCAGGAATCCTCCCACTGAGGCACCCACAATCACTGCCACTGTGGAGTCCCGCTCCGGGGGCTCTGAGGAAAAGAAAGCAGAGCCTCTGAGCATTGAGACTGGAAAAGAGATATCCTCCATTACCCCTTCACCCCTTCACCCCTGCTCCCCAGAGTATGAGGGAGACCTGACTTGACTCTTCTACATGAACAGGACTTTAGTCATAGTAAAGCAACCCAGACTATTTGACCTCTGCGTATTCCCACCCCCAAATCTCAAGGGATCAACAAGCTCCTCTACCCCCTAAAAGGGGATACTGAAGACCATGGACACTGAGATCAGATGGAATCTGAGATCTGATTGTAGAAGATATGAATTACATAATTTATTCCCTTTAACCCTAGTTCCCTCATCCTTACAATGGGAATAAAATAGCTCTTATCTGTGAGGACCAAATGAGAGTGAGAGCTGCCATTATTATTAGAGATATATTCATGGTCAACCTCTCCCCTCAAGGACCAGAAGGAAGGCATGGATGCCTTCCACCAACACAAGCTGCTACTCCCACCTTAGGGGGTCACAACTTCCCAGAAGTGCTCTAAGTGAATTCTAGAGAAGAATCAGCACCCCCATCCCTAGAAGCCCAGTCACCCTCACCTTCCAGGAGGACCTGCAGGTAAATCTTGCCATGGCCACGGTGGCGGTCTGGTGGGTTGGTGACATAGCAGTTGTAAATGCCCTCATCCTCCAGCTGCACGTTTTTCAGGGTCACTGACACATCATACTTGCTAGGGTTCCCAGAGAACTCCACACGGTCTCGGAATCTCTCCAGCTTCAGATTAATGATCTTCATGCGGAACTGGAGGAACTGCGGAGTGAGGTAGAGGACAGCATGGGCAGTCGCATGAACAAGGGGCTCTGAGGACAGTGGAGACGTGCCCTCCTCCCAGGCAATCTTCCACAGGGGAAGTAAGGGAGTTAACCCCAGAAATACCACCCAGTTGTGGTAACCTCATGTCTTAAGCCAAGAGACAGCCCACCCAGAGTGTTCCTGGGGCCCTGGTCCAGTACAGAAGCAGGAGTGGGAAAGGTAGGCTTCATGCTTCAGGGATTGTGCCTCCCCATTTTCCTTCTCCACCCAGGACTCACCATCTCCTCTGAGCAATTGCTACATTCCTGGTAAGTCCAATTCAGGGAGAACTGTTTGTGGTTCACGGTATAGCAGGAGTTGAAGGTACAGGACAGGCGGGCATCAGACCCATTGAGGATATTGAGGGTGTTAGGGACCGTGACTTCCATGCTCCACCCAGGTGGCACTGCAGACAAAGCCACAATCTGATGAAGGTGCTGAGTGACAGGGATTGGGGTGGGAGTAATCCCTCTATAGCCAGTGGGGAGGGGAGGGAGAGAGGCAGAGCAGAGCTGGGGGCCATAGCCTGGGCTCCTGACTGCTGCTGTTAGTCAAGAGTTGGGTAGGAAAGCAAAGCACATAAGGGATGCCAAGTGTGGTCCTTAGGATACAGCAGGGAGGGCAACATGGGCACAGGTGGAAACAGATCAAATTGTCTACCAGGCCTGGGATGGCTGAATGGCCTCCAGCCTTCTACAAGAGCACTGCTGGGAGCCCCCTCCACCTACCCCAGTTCTACCAGTGCCACTCCCCTGCCAAACAAGGGGCTTCACTGTGCTTGCCTCAGTTTCCCCTTCTTCTCCAACCACCTCCAATCATCTTTGCTGGGCCAAAGTGTCAGCCCGGAAACACCTTGGCAAAGAGTTGGTCCAGGGTGGCAGGTGGCAAGTGGCAGGATGGGAATGCAAGGTTCTGTGGAGTCCTGTATGAGGCATCAGGCTTGGACCAGGACCTGGATACTGTAGCTGAAAAAAATGCCACCCGGGTCTTCTAAGCAAGGCAGAGTCTAGGGCTGGGGAACATCAGAGCTGCTTAGGACCCAGTATTTATGGAAACTTTCACTTTCAAGGGCACAAAAATACTTCCTCAAATGTTGCACTCAGGACTACCTCATCCTAGCCCTAGTCTTAATTCTAAGATTCTCTGTCAGGTCTGTAAAAACTTCATTTCAAAATATTAACTTAAATATTAATAGCCCTGGGGGCATAGCTCAAGAGAAGAGTGATTGTCTGACATGCTCAAGGCCCTGGGTTAAACCCCCTGCAGTAACATTCCCTGTCATTCATTCACTCATTTTCATTTTTTATTTTTGGGTCTATTTATTTACTTTATTTATTTATTTATTTATTTATTTATTTATTTATTTATTTATTTTGAGGCAAGCCTCCTCATATAGTCAGGTGTGCACCACCCCACCCAGTTTATTCAGTACTGGGGAGCAAACCCAGGACTTTATGCTTGCTAGGCAGACACTCGACCAACTAAACCACATCCCCAGCTCTCATTCATTCATTTGCCAAATATACGTAAATCATTTACTATACACCAGGTGCTTAGGTCCTGGGGGTTGTTAGGTTAGTGTGAGGCAGAGTCACTGCATCATGGGGCTTGTATTCTGGTGAGGGGACATCTAGCAACAACAGTAACAAAAATAAGAATATGGTTGTTGGGAGTGACACTTGGCATGGGCTATAAGGATTAAAGTGAGGCAGCGGGGAGTTGTTTTATTTAAGACGGTCAGGGAACAGGGCTCTCAGAGAATAACATTTAGGTAGCACCTAACTTAAAAGAAGGATAGAGCCATTTGAAGTTTGGAGGGGATCGAATTCCAAGTCTCAAGGAATTTCAAGGGCAACATTCCCTGGCTGGGATGACCTTCAGACATCTGAAAAAGAGCTAACAGACTGTTGGGGCCAGTCTATGGAGTGGGGAAATATTCCACTGAGTCATAAAGTCACTAAAAGGCTTGAGGGTGGCCAGGGACAGCTGGGAAGTAGGCAAGGTGAGAATTACAGCTACAGATAGGGGCAGAAACAAGGAGCCCTATTCCAGCTCTAGCCTCAGTCAGTCGTGAGAATGAAGGCAGATTCCTTCACCTCCCTGTGTTCATCCTCCTCCTCCTTAAACCCAGCTCATGACACCCATCTCTGGGCAGAGAGGATAGCTAAAATAAGTGCTAGGTGTTCAGCAAACCTTGGTTCTCCTTCTCGGTTCTGCTTTGGGACCAGAAAGGGCTTCAGAGGTGGGGTAGAGGGAGTCTCCAGGCCTGAGGGTACCTTGGAGACTGACCCTTCCAGTCAGCCCCCTGGGATAACCCCAGATCTGGTTAAGAAGCCAGGCTGTGGGGCTCCTAGTTCTTATACTGTTTACACAATGCTACTGGCCCCACCCCCAGAAGCAGCAGTGCCCCAGCCTGCAGGCCAAGAAGCAAAGTCTGCCCAAAGCATCCTTCTGCTCAGCGCATCCCAAGGACAAGGGACCCAGAAAGCCTCAGGACTTAAGGATAGGAGGTTCTCTAAACTGCTGGCCCAGCAGGTCCCCACTGAGCTTTGAAGACGGGTTCAGGCATATGGACCTCACTTGCAGGGCCAACAACTCCAGGTGTGCACTGAAATATTCAGAAAAGGGGTACCAACTAGAGAAGCTGATGGGGCCCCTGCCAGGAGGAACACAACCCAGCTCCTAGCTCTTGCACCTTCATATCCAGTCAAAAGCACCTGGTACAGCGCCAGGAAAGGAGGAGGTGTGCAGAAAATACCAACACCGCCCCCACCCTGCAGAGGCTGAGAAATCTGAGGGAAGGAACGGCTGGAGGTTCGTCCTGAGTTTACCTTCTATGCTGGTGCCAGCCTCTCCAGCTCCTTCTTTAGAAAGGGCTACCACCTTCTCAGTACCCCCCACACACCAAAAAAGCAATGTGCTATACAACCAGCTGGCTCTGTGAAGTCCACCCCCCTCAGTCGGTCTCCGTCCCGCCTCAGCAGTTTGAACTTGAACCCCACCAGATACCCCCCTTTATCTCCTGTAGAAGGATCAGGCATATCACTGTGTCAGGCAGAGTTGTGGAGGAACCAGGGATCTTTTCTGGCTGGTGTGAGGGGACCCGGAGAGAGGTGCAATGCGGATTCCCCCTACACGCACCCTGCAAGAGGCATCAAATGGGATGCGTGTGCCCTCTAGTGGCCATAGAGGTCAATACGCAAGGCTCATCTGCCAGAGGAAAGAAAAGGGGTACGGGGTGGGGGATCATCAAACTAAAGGGAGCCAAAGCTAGGAGAGCCTTAGGGATCTAGTGCCATCCTGTTACCTGTGAGGAAAGAGGTGCCATAAGGCACACAGAATAACGACAAGCTGAGGCCAGGAATGTGGCTGCTGCCTGCTGGTCCAAGATTCAGCCAGAGGCTTCACCAGAATCCCAGAGGCTTGGGCGAGGCCTCCCACAGTTCAAGAAAGCATTGCTCAAGGTCAGAGCTGTGAGCAAGAGCCCGGTCTCCTGATGAATTGTACCGCTTCGGGAAAAAAATAGATGGATCCAGGCCCACAGACAGGTCTTCATCACAACCACCACCAAAGTGCTGACACGCTTTTCGGGCATTCCACATGCTACCTGCTGAGTACGCACAACTGTCACCCACCACTTTTCAGATGAGGAAATGGGGCACAAAGAAATTAAATGAGTAGCCCGAGTCCACAGCCAGGAAATGACAAAATTAGAACTGGAATCCATGCTGCCTGGGTTCAGACCCTGGCTCCAGACAAGGTTGAGATAAGGGGTTGAAGATAGGGGGAGGGGTTATATGGTTGTCGTTCTCATGTGTCCCAGCAAACAGAGCTCCTAATGTCTATATGGTCTAGCCCCTGGTTCTAGGCAGGGTCCCCAGCAGGCAGTGTCCTGTTAAAGAACTTCTCTTAAGAGGGGCAACCACAACATTCCTAAAGTCCCACTTAGGACCAGGTCTGAGATCTCGAGATCATGATTTCCAGTACATAGGAAGGCAATAATGAGCAAAGGGACACAGTACAGGTGCAGCTTCTGACTCAGCTCCAGACACCATCAGTGCTGGACACCCCATCGCCACCATACAACTAAGTCCCGCAGGCCCCAGTCATCCCCAGTTCTACCTGGTTCATCCTGCAGAGACCCTGAAACTGGGCTCATCTGCCAAATCTGTCTTGCCCAGGGTCTGAAAATGAAAAACCTTCACTTCTCCTTCCAGCCCTACCACAATTTAAAAGAAAAAGAAAGGAAAAAAAGAAGAGAAAAAAATAACAGAAAGGCAATCTTCTGGGGCAGTCCTGCCTCCCGGGCAAATGTGAAATCCTGCCCCAATTACTCACCTGCCTTTCCATGCACTCTTCCTGTCCAGGGTCCCCAGGTAGCCAGAAGCAAGCTGTCCTCTGTCCTCACCTCCAAGTCTCCAGGGGCTCCCTGCTGTTTTTAGGGCAGAGTTCCCGCTCCTGGGCACAACTTCTAAGCCCTTTGCCACCAGGAACTTAGCTGCAATTCCCAGCCTGGTCTCCCACAAGCTCCCATCCCTCCACACATCCTTATTCCAGTGACCCCAGAGTTCTGACTTTCCTCTCCTTCCCTCCACCAGGCCTTCAGACATGTTTTTGCTTCAGGTTGAGAAGTTTGTTCTCTGTCTGCACTGGGGTTCTTCCACAGCACCCCCAGATTTCACTTTTAAGACACAGTCTTCCCACTGCCTGGTCCTTCCCCTGGTCCTGTTCATATCTCTTCCACATGATGTGGAGGCAGAGTGGTGTAGTAACCAAGACTGGTTCCCTAAGAGCCCCTGTATGTCTAGGGTGAGACTGATAACCTTCCAGCACCTCAGTCTCCACAGTAATGCAGGAGACAGTAATAGGGCTCTGGAAAGGCGACAGTAGCCCCCTTCACCCTGGGGCCATTACGAGAATTAAACAACCTGCTGCATGTATAAGCTAAGCACACTGCCTAGCACACAGCAGTTAGCAAAAGGTTGCTTCTAGGATTATTATGACTGTATGTCCTTATGGTACATACAGTGTTGCATTTCTGTTGTTTGTGCCTGTGTCCCTCAAGAGGCTCTGGTGAACTCATTCTTATTCATCTTGATGTCCTTGGCACCCAGAATGCCATATAGCATGTAGCAAGTGCTCAGTAAAACTTTACTGCCGGGAAAAAAAAGCACTTTACTCCCAAGTCTAGGTTCTGCCCCCAGTAGGAACTATGTGCAGTAGGCTTGAGTGAGGACCAGACTCCACTTTCTAAGCTCCCTCTTACATAATTCATATTTTGATGACCAGACCAGCAACTGAAAAATTGATGGTCTTGAGAAGCGCCCAAGGGAGCCAAATCATTCCAAACATCTCAAGCCAAAAACTAGTCTCTTGTGCTTCTAGCATGGGTACCGTTGGTTTCTCAGCCTGGCCTTTCTCTTTGCCACCTCTACAGTCATCCCCACATGCCCCACCCCTAACATACTGCCCCTCCTATCATCTGTAGTGATGGATGCTGTTACAGCCACCCAAGTTCCACTGCCCAGAGTATGGGGTACCAGAGGCATGCTTCAAATTTAAGGTCTCCACTCCTGCAGATCTATCGGAAGTCTCCACATCTTCCCACTACCTCTTAAGCCCTGATGCACAAATCTCTTCATCCAAGACATGTTCCCCAAGCCCAGGTCTTCTGGTCCTGTTCCCAGAGCCCCTTAGATATTCACTTCACTTAGGTATGACTGTAACAGGCAGTCCATCTGGCATGAAACCCTGGCTAACTCCTGAGCAAGGGACTCTGTCCTCTGGCTCTGGATTTTCTGGGAGACAACTTATCCACCTCCCCATCTCTTAGCCTGCACTACAGAGTTTTCCATCAATTTCCATCAATCACTGCTAATAGATCAGTACCCTTTCTTGAACACTGGGGGCAGTAGAATCCAATGTTTAAGAGAATGTGCAAGTCAGACATGTGAGAGAGTTCAAATCTCAGCTTCCTTATGCTAGTCATGTGATCTTATTGGACAGATTACTTACCTTCTCTGTGCCTGTATTTTTGTCCTGCCACATGAACATAATCATAGTATGTACCTCAAACAACAACTGTGAAGACCAAACAGGATACACTGTGCCTGGGCTTATGGAAGGTGTTCATCACTGGCCCCTCCCTACAAGTTCATCAGGCAGAAAGCAATCTCCAGTTACCCGTGAAAGAACTTGCACTTAGAGGGGTTAGCATTTTGCCCATGATTATGAAGTAAAGCATAAAGGCAATTTTAAACCCAAGTCTAATTCCAAGCTTCCACAAGAAGGAAATTGTTAGAGACTAATCTTGCAGGCTGCCAGGAGTTCTGTATGTCTCTGTTTAGCACTCCAGCCTAATACCCAACAGATAGAGGGAGGGAGGGAGGGAGGGAGGGAAGGAGGGAGGGAGGGAGAGAGAGAGAGAGAGAGAAGAGGAGAGATTTGTGATGAGGCATAATCCCACCTACAATCCTTGGACTTGACCCTCAGCCACTGCTGAGGAAGTTCAGGAGCAAGAATAAAACTATCTCTAAAGCAGGTTTACAGTCCTTGGTGGTGGCCTTCACCTGTAATCCCAGTACTCAGGAGGCAGAGGCAGGAGGATTGCTGCAAATTCCAGCCAGCCCGGTTACATAGTAAATTCCATACCATCCTACATAGTGAGACCCTGTCTCAGAAATATACACACACACACACACACACACACACACACACACACACACACACAAGCAGGCTTACAAATAACTTTGCAGCCCACCTACCTGCCTACCATGAAGTCTGTGAGTGTTCAGATATGAAGCTAGTATTAGGACCATAGGACAGGGTGGTCTGCAAGGTTGGGCTGGATAGTTCTAAGACTGGTTGTAGAGGGCCACACCCTTCCCAGCCATAGGTTCTATTTATTTTTCTCTATTTTTCCTGGATCGCTTCACCTGAGCCCCCTTTCATTCCATCTGACCCAAGCCAGGGGTGCCTTCTCCATTGGCACCTGCGCTGGGCAGGCAGCTCTCCTCCCAACCCAGAGCCCATCCTCAAGCCTACTCCCCACCTACTCCCACACACATTCCAACAAATCTGTGTGACAGACTTTCTGGAAGCCAGATCCAGCCTCAACTTTCTGCCCCCAACTCTCCAGAACACTGTCTTCTAATACTTTAAATCTGCTGGATTTCAGGGAGCAAGGTTCACAAAAGAATCTCTTAAGAAACCAGCCAGTCCCAGGACACTATATATCCTTGAAGGGACTGCAAAGCATCCTAGTTCTGCCCCTGCCCCACCCCCCCACATGGGTCTACTTCATGGGAACCCAAAGTAGATCATTTTGATCATTTTCACCCCCCAAGCAACACCCAGCCCCTAAGCAACATTTCTGTGACCAAGCAGCCCCAGCATTAAGCAGTTCCAGCAATGCCCCCAGTCCCCAGCACACCCCTTCCCAAGGACAGAGGGAAGCGCTAACAATGTCTTCCTTCCCTCCTGCCCCTGCCCCCTCCTCTTTCAACTGCAGCTGCATTTCTGAACCCTCAGGAGCATGCAGATGTGGGTCTAACTTACCCAAAGTGAAAAACAGACTGAGCCCCGTGAGACTGAAGGCAGGGCGAGGTAGCCAGGCATCCCTGTGCATTTTCAAAGACTGAGATGTTAGGCAGGTGGGCTATGGGAAAGGGTGATTGAGGGACCAAAGGACCACGAGGGAGGAATGGTTAGATGCTAAAAAAGAAAATGCACGGATGTACTTCAAAGACATAGACAACATTAAGGAAGCTTTATTTCCATCTCTCTAATATGGCCGACTTGTATGTGGCTGCTAAAAAGAGAGGGGGGTGGTGTGTAAGGGAAAGAGAGAAAAAGGGGGATGGAGTAAATATTGTGGTTGGTGGATTTCAGAAAGCAGGTGGGAGGGCATAAAAAAAGTCTTTCTGGAAAAAACAAAGTTGCCCGAAATTTTCACTCTCTGAAACCAGAACTAAGTCAAATCTTGCCTTTCTACAACATGTGGAATAATTTTTAGATTTTGAAAAGTGTTAGAGGGAATCAGGCATTGTGGCAAATGCCTGTAAATCCTAGCACTAGGGAGGCAGAAGGAGGATTGCCATGAGTTTGAGGCCAGCCTAGGATATATAGCAAGATCCTTCTGAAGAGACAAAGAAAGACAGATACAGAGAGACAAAGAAAGAGCAATCAGTTATTTCAAAACTGTTATAAAGAAGCTCTTTTCATCATTTAAAAACACCCCCAAGGGCCAGTAAGATGGTTCAGCCAGTGGAGGTGCCTGTTGCCAAGCCTGACCACTTCAGTTCAATCCCCTGGAACCCACATGGTAGAAAAAGAGATCTTCCTGCAAGTTATCCTCTGACCTCCATACACACGCCACGGTGCATACACGCTCACTTAACATTCACTTACACACACACACACACACACACACACACACACACGCACACGCACACACACACACACACGCACACACACACACACATCCCCCAGAAAGGAAAGCAATGTTCTGTTATTTGGGAAGAGATCAGGGAAGTGAGATGGGGAGTTTCAGGAAGTAATGCTTCCTCATCGTTCTAACATTTCCATGGAAAACAGAACATGTGAAGGCTGGTGTCAAAACCCAAGACATTTTACGATGGAATAGAACATGAATCTTTGCGAGTCCCTGATACAAACAAATTAATGGGAAAAGGATATTTTTTAGACAACTGGAGGAAAGTAAATATAGATTGGGTATTGATTATATTAATGGATACTCATGCACATAAAAATAAATAAATAAATAAATCCCAGGGGGGAAATAGATGGGGGAAGTGGGCGTCACAGGGGCAGGCCGTGAAGGGTGTATGGGTGTTCTGCACAGTCCAGGCTGAGAGTTGATATTCACTAATCAGGAGGCAACTGCTGCATAGGGACAGGCCTGAAGGAACTAAAGTATCTGGACAGGGAACTGGAAAGATAAAAATGTAAAACAAGCCCAGAATGGTGGTGCACACCTTTAATCCCAGCACTCAGGAGGATCTTTGTGAGTTAGAGGCCAGCCTGGTCTACATAGTGAGTTCCAGGCTAGCTGGGGCTACAGGGAGACCCTGTCTCAAAACGACAGAAAAAAAAAAAAAAGTAAAACAACAAAACAAAACCACAAACAAAAGGAACTAAGATCCAGTCAGGTCTCTGAAGCTGATGCAAAGCCAGCTGGAGCTTCAAGGCAGAGTTCTGAGAAAGCAGAGGAGTGACAGTTTAAAGTCTCTGCTTGCCTAAGTCCTGATCAGGCACAGACCCTGACCCAGTACCTCTGTCATATCAATATAGGGGCTAGCTCCAGGGGCTCCTCCATAGAGCCACAGCTCAGAAGTGGGAATTTCAGGGAAAAGAGAAAGTCTCCCCCAGGACCCTCACAGGTCCCATCCCTACCATCCTAGGGCCCCAGCCCTCTTCCATGGGGTGCAGCTCACAGGTGTCCCCAGAGGGCTACATTGGCAGCAGTCAGGCCTCCCACTCAGCTCTGGCCCATCGGCCAAGTCCCAGTCTGCAGCACCACCAGGCAGGCTGCTGCAGACACTTTTCAGCCCAGTACCGTTGCCAGAGATTTTTAGTTTTACATAGCCGGCCTCCTCCTTTTTCTTAATGCAGCCAACAGTGCCAGTGAGGCCCAGAAACAGAAGGAAATTGCTTTCCTGTCTCACTTGATCTCATGCTATGTCCAGAAGCTTCTATTTAGTAGTCAATTGAGGCAAGAAATGATCCTAAAATTCTTATGATTCACCCTAGAATTTGGCTAAGAGTAAGTATTCAGACCTCAAATAGTCTTGGTTCAACTCAGCCAGAATCAAGGACCAGTAGCGTCCAGATCAGGGACCAGGAGATAGAAGGCTATGTCAGAGCCTCCCATAGCCCACTGGAGCCCAGTTCTTCTGCCTCCCACAGGAGCCAATAGGAGCCCAGGAAGCAGAAGCTCACAGAGGTGTTTTGTAGACTGACAACACTAGTAATCAAAGATAGGCTTTTTTGGGAGTGAAACCCTGTGGTTTTGGCATTTCCGTCCACTGCCATTTATCACTGAAGATTGTATTGGACAGCACTCAATTACCTACCCTGCTGGGAGAAGCAGTCAGAAATAATCCAAACCAGAGCAGTTTCCCTTTGCCTTTGGAATGCATAGTCCACGGACTTTCACCTTAGAGTCTAATTTCTCAAACAAAGTATTGTCCCCCTGCTGGCCTTTTTTGGTGTCATCTGGGAACTGGCAAAGAATGCAGAGTCACAGGCCCCATCCCAGGCCTGAGAAATCAGGATCTGCATTTTAACAAGACCTCTAGAAAATTCTTAAGTTCGTTAAAGTTTTAGAAGAAACACCTTCAACTTAGGAGTTTGCAAGGGTGTTGGAACAAGCCAGATTTGAAGGGTGGAGAAGAGGACAGCACCCAAGGACAAGCCTCTAGCTTCAGTGTCAGCTTCAGTGGATCTGCACAGCAACTCATGGCAGGGATTCAATTCACTGACCCCCTCCTCTGTCCCATACCCTTTTCAAGCCACTCCATATCAGGCAAGGTGTATTTAAAGCCTACACAATGCTTCCCATCTCTGTAGCTCCCTTTGCTGGGAATGTTCTCCTCTTGTATCCTCAGCAAACTCATAGTCTCCTCAAAAATGCTGGGGGTGTGGCTTAGTAACAGAGCATATGCTTGGGATACTCCAAGCCATGAGTTCAATTCCCAGAGTGTACATGTGGTGTGTGTGTGTGTGTGTGTGTGTGTGTGTGTGCACCCACATCCACCCATCCCACACCTGCTCCAAAGCTACCTATTCCTAATTTTTTAATTGCCTCTTGTGCTCTTGTGACCCTGGTACATTCATTTATTTACCAGCAAACTCACTCATTCAACAAACTCAAGTATTATAGTTCCCCATTATCCATAGAAGATACATTCAAAGACACACACCCTCCAAGTAGATTACTGAGATAGTAGGTAGTAGAAAGCCACTGTGATTACCATGACAGAAAATGTGATAACAGAGCTAGCTAATAAGTGACTAATGAGTAGGTGGCTTACACCACATGAGTTTATTGGACAAAGGAAAGCAGTAGATGTCCTGCCTGGGAAGAACGGGAAGGCACAAAATGCCACGATGTTATTCAGCTTTAAACTTATGAATGATTTATTTCTGGAATTTACCATTTACTATCTTCAGACCACAACTGGCTATCTCTAACTGAAACCACAGAAAGCAAAGATACAGATACAGTAGAACATCTATTTGATGGCCTCATGTGCGAGACACTGAGTGAAAAACTGGAGCCCCAGAAATGAAGACTGCCTTTGAGGGCTCCCCTTCAAGACATGGAAATAGATGTACAAATTCATAGTTCTACAGAAGTACAGGCCTGTCTGTGAGTAGGGGGTGTAGCTGGGGTCAGAGGTAGCAAAGGTGCCTCTGGTATCACTGTGATCTCTGTGCTAACAGGAACAAGGCTTGTATGTATTCACACAACTGACCCCCAACTAGACTGTAGCTCTTTAAGTACAGTCTTGAGTACAGCATGGGCCTCTACTGATCTCTGAGCAGATGAGAATTAATGGATGTCTGTGTCTGGGAAAGAGGCAGGACTTCTACCAGCTTGACTTTACCGGGTCCAGTGCTTCCCTGTACCGGCTGCTCCACTCTACTCCCCAGGTATTCTCTTCAGCAAGGAGCTGTGCCCCATGGAGTGAGAGATGGAGAGGGTCACAGATAAAGCCTAAAGTAGCTTGTCCGAGAGAAGATAAATTATCACACTCATGAAACATAGGGCAAAGGAAGATAAAATTTTGATCAGGTGAAAAAACATCTTAGAAGATTTAAGAACTACATCATCCAGGTGAGACTCAAACAAAGCCTTGAAGGCATATAGATTTGGGCAGGCAAGAAGGGAGAAGTTTCCTGTAAAGCAGGAAAGGCAAAGAGAAATGGAACAGGAAGCTCGTGTGATTTTTTTTTTTTTTAAACAAAAAGGTGTGGTGGTGGTGGTGGTGGTGGTGGTGGTGGTGGTGAGGCAGGATAGATGAGAGATTAAGACAGAGCCAGGACACAGACGACCACAGCATACATTCAGACAGGTAACTTTGAGTGGTCTAGAACTCTCTATTCCTGTTCTAGAACAGGTAAATCACCATTACCCTTGTTATTCTGATAAAGATCTTAGCTGCGTGAGAAAACTCTAAGTTCCCTTATTTTGTTGACCAAGAAGAGAGGTTCTGTGACCCTGGTTTTACAGAAGTGGTCATGGATTGCCTGACCTCCCTTGAAGAAGCTGAGACCACATCTGCAAACTAGCTGGTCAGAGGTCAGAGGTCCTGAGAAACTTCATGCTTAGGAAGAGGCCCACCTGTCTGGGTTGGAATAAAGTGTATATCAAACATAAGGCATTTTAGCTCTAAGAAACTGGAGTGCCTGTGTCAGCATAACCACATACACGCACACACACACACACACACACACACACACACACACTCACGCACACTCAGATTTAGCATATTAAGGAAGAAAGTTGCCAATATAGACACATGAGCATACTGATGGGGTGGGGGGTTAGATAAGAAGAAACAAAAGAGCTAAGACCTGGAAGCCCTTTAGAGGAGGCTCAGCTACAGGCCGCAGGAGACAAGCTGGTGACTCCAGTTCCAAAAGCTAGATTCTGGAACTGCTAGATTCTCCATTATTCATGGGTGCCCTACCCCCTCAACCCTTGGTTCTGCTTTCTCTTGGCAAGAGCCTATGTGCTCCCGAAACCAAACATGGGAGCATCTGCTGTTCTAGGAACCAAAAATACTGAAAATTCAAGTAACTAAACTGCTTGCCAAAGGCTCTCCTACAAAGGCCTGGCTCACCTGATCTCCAGCAGCCTTCCCGACCTTCGGAATGTCTCCTCTCAATCTCAAAAAGACCTCGCCTAAGTCAGCTTCCTAACCCTTGCTTTCTTTGGATGGGAAGAGAAATTTAGGTACTTTTGTTAAAAGACTTTGTGCCCAAAGAAATCAAAATTAGTGAGGCACTGAGGCTGAATCACCAGAAAGCACCGTCATCTATCCCACTTAATTTTGTTATTAAGACTGAATGGCACAGACTGGCTAGTGTATAAGACTAAATAAAGAGGCCAGCATGGTAGCACAAATCTTCAATCCTAGCACTCGGGAGGCACAGACAGGCAGATCTCTGTGAGTTCTAAATCTATAGAACAAGTTCCAGGTCAGGCAGGACGACAAAGGGAGACCTTGTGTCAAACACCTCCTACTCCTCTCACCCCTCCCATCTTCCCACCTCCCATCCGAACCCAAAGACAAAAGAACAGTTCAGAATGGCAAGAACTGGAGAGATGAATCAAATTGGAAAAACAAACCTGACAGAGTTAGTGGGCTCAACTGCCTAAGCTATTTCATTTAGTCACTGGGGGGAAAAAAAAAATCCTAGCCTGGAGAGAGATGGTTCAGTGGGTAAAGGCACTTGCTGCCAAGCCTGACAACCTGAGTCTTTCCAGAACCCACATAGAAAGAGAGAATACCCACAACCAAAACATACACAAACAAATATTTTAAATCCCATGAATCTCCATTTTTATATAAATAATCCTCAGTGTAACATAGTTTGACATGGTTTTTTTTCTACTTTATGATGGTACAAAAGCCATATGCATTTAGTAGATGAATGTTTATCTTTTCTCAGGCTAGCAACAGGTAATAACATCCTCTCTCACTATGCTTAGCAATGGCAGCAAGTCACCATTCTCAGTCAGCAACATGACCACAACCAGCCCATGAACAGCCAAACCTCTACAGTGTGGTGTGTTGTAAGCTTTGATAGTGCATTCAGCTGTATTCAATGCACTTTGAACTCATGATATTTTTACTTTATGACGGTTGATCCTATCTAAGTCAAGAGCATTTATATGGGAAACAGCCTCAAAGAATCCAAGCAAACTTTTCAGTATAGAGAGCAAGAGGCAGAACCATGACTTAAACCAAGCCATTTACTTCAAAGCCCTCTCCCTACCCTGTATACCTACACATTGCTGGATTTAACAGGCAATCCCCTGTGGAAGACGAGTGTAATAGAGAAAGCAGGTCTTTTTGGTGGTCCCTGAAGTGCCGTTTTGGGTTTAGGCAGTGCTAGTATTTGATAGCTGTGGATCTACCCTCAACTTTGACTCTATGCCTATATATCAAAGGACGGTTTGTGGGGAACTAGGGCTGGGGAAGAGATGTGGGCTTGCCCTTCCTCCTCCTCAGTTCTACTTGGTGAACCCAGGATGGAAACCAACCTGAATGAATCAAATCTAAAGCTGGACATATCTATACTTCCAGAGTACCCTTCGAGGGTCATATGGAAAAGTTGTCCAGCTTACTCTCCAGCTCTTACCCCAATTAGTCTCAGTCCCGAACAACAGATGTGAAATCACCATCCATCCATCTGATTCTGCATCCTGAAGGCCATCCTCCAATAAACACACTAAGGAAGTAGAAAGGGGTTCCTTAACCCAAGAAAGAATTTTACTTAATAGGCCACAAGAGAAGCCACTTCCTCAATGAACACTTTAGTCATGAAGTCCCATCCCCAACTTCTCATGCCAATATGTGTCCATAGTATATCCTGGATAGGATATTGCCTTTGACACATATTGACGTATTCCTTATTTAGAAATAACAGGTGCTCTGTGGCACTTACCAAAAAGAAAAAGAAAAAAATTGGTGACTCTTTTCAATGGTTAACCAAAATTAGTTAGTGAAACAGAATGAACTCAAAACAGGCATGCCGTTTTGGGAGAGTTTGAGGAATCATTCAAAAATGTAGCCCCTGGGGCTGGAGAGATGGCTCTACTGAGCACTGGCTGCTCTTGCAGAGGACCCGGTTCAATTCCCACAGCCACATGGTGGCTCACAACTGTCCACAACTTCAGTTCCAGGGATCAGATGCCCTCCTCTGACCTCCATGGGCATTGCACAACATGGGTGCACTTACATACATGCAGGCAATATACTCATACACATAAAAATAAAATATTTTTTAAAAAAAACAAAAAAAAAAGTTGCCCCACTTAAGAGTAGATCAGAAGTCAGAGACTCAAGCAGAATGTGGTGGTTTACATCTTGAATCCCAGCACTCAAGAGGCTGAGTCAAGAGGATCATCCATGATTCAAGGCCAGTATTGGCTTTATAGTGAGTTCCAGGTCAGCCTGGGCTACAAAGCAAGTCCCTGTCTCTTTCGTGTTCTCTTTTTTATTTTTTAATATTTCACCAAATCCAGTTAACACTGTCATATATTCATGGGTGTGGGGACATCAACTGGCTCATGGGCAACCTATCAATGGCCACACTGAAAAACATTGACTCTTCCTTTCCCAGCAGTCATCAACTGCTAATAGCTCCCCAGCTAGGGATGGGGCTTCGTAAGCCTCTCCCCCATCAGTGCTGAACTGTTGACTCGTTAGATCTTGTGCAGATAACCACAGCTGCTGTGAGTTCATGATTACAATAGCTGCATCATATCCAGAAGTTAGCATCTCACAGCATCCTCCATCTCTTACATTCTTTCTACCCCCTCTTTGGCAGTGTTCCTTGATTCTTGGTGGGAGGGGGGGTTGATACAGATGTTCCATTTAGGGCTGAGCACTCAACAGTTATTTATTTTCAGCTCTTGGATCAGTTATGAGTCTCTGTATTAACTGTCACTCAATACAAACAGAAATTTCTCTGACCAAGATTGAGAGCAGCACTAATTTATGAGTATAAACATAAATATGTAGAAGGCATTTTGACAACACGAGCATTTACCAAAACAATAATATTAGATTCCCCCTAGGGCTTATGACCTCCCAGCTACAGGGTTTTGACACAGTATCAGACACATGGAACAGGCCTCAAATACAGTCAGAAAGTGGTTAGGTTTTCCCCTTAACAGTCGTGCCACTGTTGCACCAATGGGCACATCTTGCCTGGTAGGTCAATATTGTAGCATGCAGGGTCCAGTACTAGGTAATATCATTGATGTCTTCTCCCTCAGTTACGTGCATAGCACTTTCTGGCACTATGAAAGCTAACCAACAAAGGAGAAAGTTTCCCAGTCAATTTCAGATTGATTTCTCTATGTCCTGCAACCAAAGTATATGGTGTCTTCAGCATTAGGATCTTACCATCTAGTTATGGGCAATACCCTGTCTCAAAGAAGCAAAGAAATCAGAGACCTGGGGGCTGGGTGACATGTAGCTCAATGGTAGAGCACTTGCTTACCATACATAAGACCCTAAATTCAATCCTCAGTACTTCAAAGGGAGGAAAGAAGGAAGGGAGGGAGGGAGATTTAGAGGAGACTTACCTGGGCCCTGGTTGGCTAAGTGAAGAGAAAGATAGGTAGAGAATGAGAAAGGTAGTCAGGAAAGGTAACCAGAACTTGAGTCCCAAGCTGATCCTTAGGGGCTAGAAGTCAAGTTCAAAAACTAAAGGATTTTAAGACCAACTCTATCAAATTTTATAAAAACAACCAAAAAGTATAGGAACCTTACATTTTAGTCCAAGAACTCAACAACTAGCATTTGCTTTGGCAACCCATGTGTAACACTTTTGAAAAAGACAGATGCCCAAGCCCCAAAGATCCAGCAAGGAGCCACCAGTAATGCTGTACCCAGTGGCAAGGAAGAACCGCTGAGTTAAACCCAGAGCTGTACTCATATCCCACTTTCAATATGCCATCCCTAAAGCTTCCCCAGGACCAAACCAGTCCCTGTGTGGAGTCACTGTGGCTATCTACTCCAAGGACATCAGCTTTCCCAGGAATTCCACACTGCAAATTCTTCACCCAAACTTAATTTGTCCCTCATCTAGGCATAAAAATGGATGATTCCCATAAATCACATTTATTTGGTCATAATTTATGAAAGGAATCATTTGGGTTGGTTTGTATTTCTGTGAGTCTTCCTAGTAGCTCATCCACAAAACAACAGTAACAAGAAAACACTGTCTACATGAAAGGTCTGGTCCAGTGACGTGCATGCATCTACAAAACAGATCAGTCAGTTTTCCCCAGGCCAGGATCCCACTCTTGAGGCCAAGTCCATGGGCTCCCTCCCCTTATCAGTGCCTATTTGTTTGGAGCTGTTCAGTCTTCCTGACAGACTTCAAACCCTCTATCTTCAGTCCTTTGATGGAGGCCAAGATCAGCGGAAAAGCAGAGGTCTGAAACAGCTGGCACAGTGGCTTAGGACCCATCAAAAGCAGTCTTTGCCACTGCTATGATGAAGTGCTCTCTCCTTCCTTCTAGAATGTTGGCTCTGTTGGGGGGTTTCCGCAAACTGACTTTTTTCCAACTGGTTTATTTGGATCTGACCGAAGAGAGGGCCGAACTGGGTGCTGTGGGGGAAAAAGAAGAAAGAAAGAAAGAAAGAAAGAAAGAAAGAAAGAAAGAAAGAAAGAAAGAAAGAAAGAAAGAGAAAGAAAACACATTTGTAAGAAATAGTTCAGGGCTGGGGGATAGATCAGTCATGGAGCACTTGCCTCACATGTGCAAAGTCCCGGGTTTAATCCTCAGTGTTGAAAAAGAAAAAACAAGTAGTGAAAAATAATTGTACCTGTCATTCATTGAGGTTTTCTCCATGTGTCTGGCACAGTACTGAATTCAACCTGCATTGCCTCTCTGGGTCCTCACTCCCAGGGAGGGAAGTATTATTCTGGTTGTTTTTTTTCGGGGGGGGTTGTTAAGGCAGAGTAGCAGGTAGCTCAGGCTGACCTTGAACTTGCTATATAGCAGATGACCTTGAATTCTGAATCCTCCTGCCTCTACCTCCCAAGTGCTAGATTGCAGGTGTGTATCAGCACACCCTGCAATTTTTCACATTAAGAGAAGGAAGCAAGGCCTCTAACTATCATCTATCTGCTAAGGCACAGAGGCAGGGTTTGGGTCCAGTTATCTAAAATTTGTGATCTAAACCACCACACGTAGATCCTGAGAAAGTATAGTGGGACTTTCTGAAAAGATCAGTGGGAGACTGGGTCCAGAAATCCTGCAGGTACCAGCATCCATAGATCTTCAAGTCTCTTATATAAAATAGCATAGTATTTGTATATAACCTACATACATTCTCCTGTAGACTTAAAATTGTCTCTGTTTCTTTTTTTCTTTTTTTTTTCTTTTTACTTGTAGAAAAAGTTACTATCAAACTCCACTCACAGGCCAGAGTCGAGTGTTAGTGAAAACTTGCCACTCATGTGGCACACTACCTACACTTGTGAGTTCATTGGCCAGTTTGATCTGTTTCTTAATATAATGTAAATTATATGTAAATAGGTGGTATATTGTGTTGTCTAGGGAATAGTGATAAGAAACAAGTTTGTATAAGTTCATTACAGAATATTTTCAAATATTTTCAATCTGTGGTTGGTTGAATTTACGGATGCAGGAAACCAGGATACAGACTTAACATTAAAGCAATTTAATCAAGTCAATAACAACAAAATGAAAGTCTCCTTATCTTCAGTCTCTATCAGAGAACACCTCTACTGCTAAAGTTTCAAACAAGCAGCCAGAGTTTACCCTCAGGCTTTGTATGTGTATCTGTGTAAGTGTACGCACACATGTATGCAGACGCACATACCTATGCTTGCACAGAGGTCAGAAGAGCACCTTGGATCCCTTGGAGCCACAGTCCCTGGCATTTTCAGGATGCCTAGCTTGTTATGCAGGTGTTGGGATATGAACTGCAGTCCTCATGATTGTGCAGGAAGTGCTCATAACTGCTGAACCATCTCTCCAGCCTCCAACAGGCTTGTTTAATTTGGCACATAGTGTTTCTTTTCTTACTAAGATTTTTAAAACTTAGGTATATGTGGGGGGAGGTATATGCACATGAGCATAGGTGTCCATGGAGGCTAGAGGTGTCAGATCCTCTGGAGCTGGCATGACAGATGGCTGTGAGCTAGCTGACATGGGTGCTGGGAACTGAACTCAGGTCTTCTGCAAGAATAGTATGCACTCTGAACTGCTAAGCCATCTTCCCAGCCTGGCACATAGTATTTCTAAATAACTTGGCCAGCTCTGGAGGTCTCTGGGTTTGTAGCCTAGGCTTCACCTTACCCATACTGTAGTAGATCTGTTGCATCAAGGGGACAGAGGTATCAACGGGACAGAGACACGGTTTTCCTTGCACTACACCTGGGGAAGGACTATGAAGAGCAGACACTCCTACGCCATCTCCACTTCAAAACTTTCTACAAACTGTGTTTGTGGGTGATGCTCCCAGAGGTAGCTTTGTCAGCAGGTCTCTAAAAGCCAGGAGAGGTCTGGCACATTGCTGGAGCGTCACATGGCAATACTGGCAGGATGTAAGAGAAAATGACTGTATTCAACCATGGCTTGAGAGGAGCTAATGTTTCACTTGATGGAACAGGGCCAGGTTTCTGATCTCACAGTGGCTGGGCAGAACTTTCTCCACTGCAATCAACTGAGAGTCATGTGTCCTCTGTGCAATATGACAGGAGTAAACACAGCCCACTGTCCCACAGGCACAGGAGGCCAGCCTTCCTTAACTCAGCAGAATATAGCTCCATCACAGGCCGGGGCCCCATAATTAGTCTACAAATAGCATTATACTATTGCCCCCTGACTCCTTTTGTCCTACCCCTACTCACTGCACTGCAAGGGGCCTTTTCTGGGTGCTCTACTTCTCTGCGTTGCCAGAGAAATCTAGTAGGAATCATTTCATGCATTTTCTGAAACTCAGACTATAGCCAGAATGGCTGTTAGATTGTACAAAGGTAGTAATAAATCCCAGAGTAAACAAATCTAATGGCCATAAAGGATCTACTTTGATCTTTTCCGGGAGGAGGGGTCTGTGTGTGTGTCTTTGTGTGTGTCTGATATATACACATGTGTTTGTGTGTATAAGCGTGGGCACACACATGCAGTTGTGTACATGCAGAGATCAGAAAACAACCTCAGATGTCAGTCCTCACCTTCCACATTGTTTGCGATGGGGTTTCTTTGTTGTCTGCCACCTGCACCAGGCTATGTCTCCACCTCTCATCTTGCCAAGAACCACTGGCATTGCAGTGCTTTTTGTGGACTCTGGGGATTCAAACTCAGGTCCTCATGCTTATGCAGCAAGTGCTTTACCAAGCCATTTCCCTGGCACCCCCACCTTTTTTGAGACAGGGTTTCATGCATCCCAGGCTAGCCTCAAACTGGATAGGTAGCTGAGGATGACCCTAAGTTCTGATTCTCCTGCATTTACCTCCTTAGTGCTGAGATTAGAGGCATGTACTACCACATCCTGCTTATATGGTGCTGAGAATCAAACCCAGGGCTTCATGCATGCTAAACAAGCACTCTACCAAGTGAACTATATCCTATACACCTACTTCTTCCTTTTAATTTCTTGTAGTTTAAGCCTTCTCCAAGGATCCTAATACACTTTATTATGGTCTAGTTTAATCAGAACTGTGCTAATGAAGGGAAGACCTCCTTACTTACCCATACTCTATATTGATGACTTTTCATCCTAACCAAACTTTAGTTTCCCAGCTTTCTACTACTTGGAAAAAATCTCTGTCCTCTGCAAAAACCTTTCCAGGTGGCCTAGCCTCCTACTTCCCAGAGCTTAGGGTATCCTTCCCAGCATGGGCTCTGCCTCCAGATAACTGATAACTGGTCTACCTGGGGCCCAGTCCTCACCATGGTCATGTAGGTGGCCTCGGCCTGTCCACGTGGTCCTTCTTCCATCACCTCCCATGTAGTTATCGATGAGTAGACATGTTTCTAGAAGGGGGAAAATAATACAAAAGTCATAAAAGTCAGCCAGGAATGAGGCCATCTACTGTTCACAGGGCATCAGCTACCAAAGCCAGTAAATTCAGAGGGATACAGAGACTAGAGAATTGTCATCAATAATGATAATTTGGTCTTTGGTCTCCCTGAAATTAGCTCACCAGGAAAGGACATCAACCTAAGAACCAAACTGTTTGCCTCAAAAGCCAAACATCTTTGCTTCTCTAAGCATTGTCTTAGCTGCAGGGAACCCTTATCTTGCCAGACATCTTTGTCAATAATGGCTACTTCCTTCCAATTAGAGTCATGGCAAGATAACATTATCAGCTAACTGGCATCATCTCTCAGAGGATTGACAATGGCAAGGACAGCCCTCCCTGAATATCATCTGTGAGGTCTGAGGACTTTGAGAGTCACAGTCCTGTCACTCTTTGGGAAAGTAACAAATTTTCAGGCTTCTGGAGGCATCTGCACCATGTTGGGCAAAAATCCTACTCTTGGGACAAAAAACAATCCAAAAGATAGAAAAGTAACTATTCAAAGAGAAATTTCTAAAAGTTAAAAAGGGGAGGAGGGAGGGAGGAGTGAGAGAAAGAACGGAGGAGAAAAAGAGAATATAGGAGTTCGGGGAAATTAATCCAGCTCTCTGTTCCTATTTATAAAACTACCTTGGAGGGAAAGGTCCTTCCTGATCCTCTCCAAAGGTTCTTGAATATTTACTCTTAACCATTAACTCCTTAGCTCATGCAGGTGGTAGAACTTTCTGGTTCCAAGTTCAGGGCTCTTTCCTGCACCTATCCCGGAATCTGCTGCCCAAGACCAATCTGGAGAGCCTGCCCTGCCTTGGCCCATTCCTCAGAAGCCTTATTGCAGTAATAAAGGCTTCCTGAGTCATGCAGTGCCCTAGGCCCTGGCCTGCAAGCTGAGAGCTAACACTAATGAGTAAGACAGAGTTACCAAGGGAACAGGGAACCACAACCTCCACCCTGCACTGCCCCAGTGTTTCACACTGGAGTGTGTCCATCTGCATGCTCCTCACCCTCAGAGGGCAGGCAGTTCCTCTCTCACCTCTGGATTAGCCTTCTTTGTGTTCTCCAGGCTCTTCACAGTGGCTGTAGAACTACAGGGCATGAAAGGCACATGAAATTAATCCTTCAGCACTGTTTATTCAAGTGTAGCTAGAAAGGACCCCACATTGAATGGGACCCTTGCATCAAATGGGACGCCTGCCTACATCACTTTATCAAAAGAGAAACCCTGGGGAGGAACTATGTTCTAGACTCCTATAAGCAAGGAAACAGGAAGCCATACTGAGGATAGTTTACATTGAAATATAGCTTCTCTATTATCACTCTAACAACTTTCTGTCCCATAGTACGAGGTAGAGGCACAGTGGCCTGCACCTGAAGTCCCAGATGCTTCCCAAGCATGGACCCAAGAGTTCAAGGACAGCCTGGGCAGTATGTGGAGACCCCATTTTTTAATTTGTTATTATTACTGTGTTTGGGGTGTGCGTGTAAGTGTGGGCATGTGTGTGGAAATCAAACGACAACTTTTGGAAATCAGTTCTCTCCTTCCACCTTGTCAAGGCAGGGTCTGTCTTATTGTTTCTGCCCTCTGCAATACTCCAGGCAAGCCACCACATCTGGCTTCTTACATGGGTTTCAGGGATTAAACTCAGGTCATGAGACCATCTCACAGGCCCAAGAGACCCCATTTTAAAAACGGAGAAAAGAGGACAGGAGAAGAGAACATGTGGGCATAGGGGAGGTATAATTTCAAGTAACAGAATAGAGAGAGGCCATGAGGTTTGACTGTGTCATCCTTCTGACATTTCGAGGACTAGGAAGATGTAGCTGACCCACCAGTGAGCAGCACAGAGTCAGCAAGACTGTAGGTCCCAGGGCTCCCGGCCTCTCCCAGGGAGAGCCAAACCAAATTATCCCAGCGTCCACCCAAGCTGTGTGCTGTGACCCCTTCCTGTCGGGGCCTTTCATCTTTGGTCTCTTGGCCATTTGCCTCCTGCATTTGTCACTAAATGTGCTTTCCTTTTCCTTTTCTTTTTCTGTTTTGGCCTAAGGCAGATTTTTTTTTTTAAAAAAAGAAGAAAAATAAAGGTATAAGTTTGACAATAAACCATATTTTTTCTCTTAAAATGGAATTTTTTTTCACATTTTCTGATTGTTAAGCTGTATATTCTCATTATAAATTAATCAAATAACACAGAATGTAGACTGCTGGAAGTTGATACTCCCAAGTAATTTCCACACCCCCGCAAGATGGTTATCTTAAGTATCATACCACTAACAATATTAAAATTATCCTTAGAATTATCCTTCTGAACCTCTGTCAATGACAGTGTAAGTAAACTCTCAGACAGGATAAATTTGAACATATGCTTCTGACATGAGCTTCATATTACCTCCTGTCTATAAAAACAAGATAACACTTCATACTTTCCCTTACAACCTTCTTGGCTATCACTCCATGTCATTGCACATGCAGACTTGTATGTACTGGTGCATTGAACAGAACACCCATTCATCAAATCATTGGCTTTCTGAGAGATGCTGTACTCACAATAACTCCATGTTCCAATAATAAGCAATATTGCAGTGACTATAACTATGTGGGGGTCTCAGGATAGCAGTATTTCTTTAGAATAAACCAATAAACACAGGAATGTTGACATTCTTGCAGACATTGAGGTCCCATAGGGAGGTAAGCTGATAGTGGAACCCACTGGTTCTTGGTCTTAGGCTGAAATGTCTAGAAAGGCCAAGCAAATTCAAAGCCAAAACAGAGAATGCTGGGGGAAATGTAAGTGTAGCACTGACAGGCCCAAGTGCCTTCTTTAGAATCTATTTTCACCTGGGAAGTCACTTAACCATCAGCAATGTGAGGCTGTGGGTATAGCTCAGTGGTAGAAAGTTTGTCTAGAATGGACAAGTGTTGGGGTTAAATATACAGCACAGCCAAAGAAGAAAAAATAGTCAACATTCTTTGGTCTTCATGGGGCCCTTTTCCACTGTCATGATTTCAACTAGAAGATCAACTTGCCCTGCCAACATATTTCACTAATAGTTCTATAAACAAAGATATGGGCTAGTGAAATTACAGCATCCATGTCCTGGCATCTGGGCATTTCTCAGAACCTAGGAGAGCTATCCATGAAATTCAGCCCTTTAAACATATTTCAAGCCAGGCATGGTGGTGCACACCTGCAATCCCAGCACATAAGAAGCCAAGGCAGGAGGATCGTAAGTTCAAAGCCAGCGTGGGCCCTCTCTCACCCTGCCCTCAATTTATTTCTCTTGAGCAGTGAATTGTATTTGTTACAGTTCTCCCATGAGATTTACACTCTTAATTATGTTCCACTTAAACTCCCATTTTTAAGGGAGTTGGTAACCTTTGTGTAACACCAAGGCGAGTAAGGATAGTACAGGAATGTCCAGGTATTTCCAAAGCATGGTGAGCAAAGGGGGCAGAGTCACCTGCAATGATGCTAATGCAACCATTAAGGTGGTTTCACTCTAACTGGAACCCCTTCGGTGATAGCATCAGTTAGGGCCCCACCACTCTTCCACTTTGGATTAGAAGCCGTCTACACTCTCAGCCTCCCAACTGAAGGTATGGATGGTCTTGTACCTCTTATTCCAGTGAGTCCTCTTCACAACCAATATCAAAACAGGGAGCAGCAAAAGAGTGACACAGACAATCCCCACGATAATCACCAGCTGATTCCCATCCAGGATCTCAGGTCTAGGTGTTGTTGGAACCAACACTTGGGAAAGGGAGAAAGCAAGGAGAGGGTCTCAGTATTCTAGAAAAGAGTGGAGAGCTCCAACAGTCCTATGCCAAACCACAGCTGCCAGGTCAGGAAGCAGAGGGAAAAGGCATGGTCCATCCAGATTAGCACACTGGGGACACCATCTCCATTAAACTAAGATTGCCAGTCTAATCCTTTGCTTAGCCCTAAAGTATAGATTATGGTGGGCAGACGAGGCTACACTTTACCTATAATGAAGCACACTTTTGCATCAACAATTCTATTTTAAACTTTGGTTTTCCAAATGAATAAACATAACAGGCATTTTAGAGGCTGCTGATTTTTTTAATGGGCAAATGATTGTTTTAGAAAAAAATATATGCTACAATGTTCAGCCATATAGTCACAATGCCAAATAGGGCCTTAAGCAATTTCACCCATCTGGTACCCTCCATTCTAAATACATATATCAAACATTTTTTTGTGCCATACATCTCTAGGCATAGAGGTCGCCTACAAAGACAACTGATGTACAGTTCCTGTCTCCAAGGAGAGAAACAAACACGAAAACAGAAAACCACAGGCTGCTACATGCACCACGACAGATGTCTATATGGGGTGCAAAGGGGCATAGAGAAAAGGGTGTCCAATTCTGTGCAGAGCATAAGAAAGCAATTTGCCAGAAAATGTTAAATTTTAATGTGAATTCTAAAAGAAACATTCAGTGTGTTAGGCTGTTAGCAGTATCGGGAAAGGCAGAGACGATGTTATGCATGGGGTCTGGTGTCCTGACAGTAGAGTGCTTTAAGGAATTGGAAATGGTTCAGCACGTGCCATGCAAAGGCTGAATCTGAGGGTGTGGTAGGAAATTATGCTGGAGAAAGAGTGGGGCTTTTTTGGCGTTTAATTTTTGCTATGAGCAATGGAGAAATCACTGCAAGTTTATAAGTAGTGGAATGGGATATTCTGACTTGTGATTTAGAAAGATGGCCCTAGCTAAGAATAAACAGAGAATGGTTAGAGACCAGCAGTCCAATGCAGAAGAGAAGACAGCCAGAACCAAGATGAGGTGAAGGCCTAAAAGGAAGATGGCCTCAAAAGTCAGTCATAAAAATGATAGGCTTGAGTCACCTGTTAGATTAGAGAAGGAAGAATCAAGAACCACTCCCAGGCATCCAGTTACACAGCCGTGTACGTTTGAAGGATCTGGGAAATTTGATGAGTCAAAATATATGCATGCATAACACACACACACACACACACACACACACACACACACGCACGTGCACCAGTCCTCATATTCATGAATTCCTCATCCATGAATTCAATCAGCTGCAGCCTAAAAATATTTAGAGAGGAGAACTATATCTGTGCATAGACTTTTTCTTATCATTATTCCCTAAACAATATAATGTAACAACTATTTATATTAGATATTATCGGTAATCTAGACTTGATCTCAAATTTACAGGAAGATACGTGTAAGTTCTATGCAAATCCTGTAACATTTTTATATGAAGAACTTGAGGACCCATAGATTTTGGTATTTGAGAGGTGGTGGGGTATCCTGGAACCAACCTCCATAAGATACCAAGGGACATAATTGTGCATATATAAGTGTGCCTATCTAATTGTGTCCAACATAGAATGTAGGTAAAACACAGTGTCCAATATCACTGTGGTAAAAAAGACTGAGGATGGGCCACTGGAGCACCACTGATGATGTAAGCTAGAACAGACACAGGAACAGAAGTCCAAGCCCAGCAAAATGAGGTGTTAATGGGAAATAAGCCAGGTAGACACCACGTGAAACTTCAGTAAGGCATTTGGCTATGCTGAAAAAGAAATATATAATTGATTATGGTGACCATACAACACCCTGAATACATCAAAACCACTGAACTGTACACCCTGAATGGTAGACTGTATGTTATAACTCCACAAAGCTGCTATAAGGAAAACCAAAGTACAGGACAAAAGCTGAAGTGGACAGGTAGGAGGAGGAACTGAGCAAATTCACAAGCTGAGTGGAAGAGACCCACGGACTGGGGGAGGGGGGCTCACAGAGTCATGCTCTGAGGTCCCCTGGTGGAGGAATGAGTGATGCCAGAGCACAGGATGCTCAAAGCACCCAGGGCAGGAAGGAGCTCATCAGCCTCAGGATGGTGGGTGGAGATAAGAATGGGGGCAGATGTAGACACGTCTGTGGGTGGGTAAGGAGGCCTCAGAAGGGAGTGAGCCCCGCTCCTCACTATGGCATGTATTTTCTCTGTGAAGTAGAGGGAACATTTCTGAGAATGAAGACACAGAGATGAAGGTTCAAGAAAGTTCACCTCTCCGACTGCCCTCTTCAGTTGAGATCCTTTGCTACTGACAAGGTATCTCCATAGAAGTGGGTGTCTGGCCTGAGGCATTGAGGTACTTTCCTTTCTAGCCATCTCCCCCACCCCCAGTCAACCACAGTCAGCTCCTGAAGGCTCTAGTGAGAGACAAAGTCCACAGGCCACATCCTGACTGCTGAGTTATGGTTTAACTTTTACCCCCACCATCTCCCTCAGACAACACAATTGAGCCTTATTTTCTTACATACACTTGGCCTTGATGCACACTGTCTGTCAGAATACAAAGTCTAATCAGAAAACCCTCTACTCATTCTGGTACTTTCCTATTTTCTCTCTGTTGCTTACTATCCCTAACCAGCTTAGGACCATTTTCCCTTCACTCAGAGCATATGGTGAGTCCCTTGAAGCTAATAAGTTAAACCAACTTGGGATCTCCATCCCACTCTACCTCTGAGCTCTCAGATCTTTACAGCAGTGGAATGCCCTGGCCATGACTGGAGTTTGGCAGAGGCCTGTTGTTCACTGCATATTAGCTCCCTGGCACCAACAAGAGCTAGGGCAAGGCGAGCCAGGCATCTGGTGAACCAGGCTGAAGGAGGTGTCACTCTCAGGGTGGTGCAAGGCCAAGGTCCCTGAGATCTGTGCCTCCTTTCACATATCTGGAGCCTGACTCACTCTAGACCTGACCGGGGTACCAGCAGAGGCCCTCCCCCTCCCCCCAAATATTAGATACTTTGGGATTCTTCCTGGATCACATGCAGAACAATGGTTTTCCTGAACACCAGCTTTCCCAGGTAGATGCTGCAGGTGTAGACACCTCGGTCAGACTCCTTCACTGCTTGAAGCATGACGGAACCATCATAGTGGGAAGCATCCCCCATCAAGTTGACACGGTTCCGGAAACGGCCCTGATTCTGGGTATAGTTGAATCTGAAGTCATAACGTAAGATAATCTCCTCCTACAAGGGAAAGGCAAAAAGCATGAGACGGGAAGGAGTGGGGAAGAAAGGGGTGGAAAGATCTCAGCTCTGACAAACCTGTTACGTGAGGGCAAAAAGAGTGTTAGATAATATAAAGTCACGTTCACATGTGTACTGGTGGGGACAAAACCAAACCACAAACAATTGATCCATCAAAAGAAGTAGATAAAAAGGGAAAGGGGCTAGCTTGTAATCCCAGCTACTCAGGAGGCTGAAGCAGGAGGACCATAAGTTCAGGGCCTGCCTGGGTTAAAGAATGAGTAATTTAGGGGGACTCTGTCTCAAAATAAAGAGCAAAAAGAGGCCTGAGATATAGTTCAGCAGTAGAATGCTTGCCGAGTATATATAAAGTATTCCTGGGTTCAATATGAGACACACACACACACACACACACACACACACACAGAGAGAGAGAGAGAGAGAGAGAGAGAATATAAAGTAAAAGACTTACTTTTAGTAATTTTCAATGAAAAAAGAAGTACAAGTACACTTTCAGTTGGATTTCCAACAGGCACCTAAAACATGTCTAAATTTCATTGTTCCCCAAACCAGTTCTCTCCATCCTATTTTGGTAAACGGCAATTTCTTCTTTCTGATGCTCAGGCTAAAAATCTTGGAATCATCTTCAGTTCCTCTCTTGAACAACTCACATAACTCCTCAGCAGATCCTAACCTTTCTACCTTCAAAACACATCCCCCAACCCAGCCACTTCTCAGCTCACTCGGTTGCCATTCTGGGTCAAAGCCACACCTCATCTTTCACTTGGGCTCCTGCAAGGGCCTTCTCACCTGTCTCCCTGCTTACCCCAAGATCTATCCTCACCAGACAAGCCTTTAAAATGTAAGATACATCCTGCCATTCCTCTGCTCTAACCCTTTCCCCTGCCCCTCAGGCACAGGTCCTATGTGATCTGGCCAGGTCTCCTCTTCCCATCACAATTCTGTTTTCTCATCCTTCACTAGCTTCGGCTGCACAAACCCTCCAGGTGCTTCCTCAGTACTGGTCTCAGGGCCTTGCTCTTGTCACTCCCCATGACTGGAACCCTCTTCTTTCTAGATAGTCACAGACTTCACTTTCTTCAGACCACTAGTTAAATGTCACCTTGGTGAGGACTCCCTGGCCACTATTCAGAATAACAGCCGCAGAGCTCTGCCTGATGGCCCTTCACAGCTCTTACTACTCCTGATGGTTTTAGCTGTTCACTTTCATTATGTCACTGTGTATCTCCCCCCATCTCTTCTGCAATTTTCCCTTCAGGACAAGAGCTTTAAATGAATGAACATTGAAATTTTTTACAAAGGTATATAGATTTTTGGTGGTGGTGGTAGGGATTAAAATCAGGGCCTTGCACATACAAGGCAGGTGTTCTACTAATGAACTATATCTCCAGCCCTGGATTTTTTCTACGAAAGGAAGGCAGGAAGGAGAGAGAGAGAGAGAGAGAGAGAGAGAGAGAGCTTTTAAGAGGAAGTAATGAGTACCCAGGCAGAAACACAAATGGAGAGACCTAGCCCTAACCTCCTGCCTCTTTCTGTCCTGAATCATTTGATGGATGACACAAGTACATGACAAATTCTCAGGAGTGAACTTCATTCATTCCTCACCCTCCACCATGAAGTCACCCTTCCTGACACCCTCAGATAGCAGACAAGAATCAGGTTAAGTATAAATAACTTTGCAAGCAGGATGGCCTGGAATACATTTTAATCTATAAAACAAATATTTTACAACGTTTCACCTTAACTTTTATTGACAATAAATCACCCAAGATGTCCCTCATAACACATGTTTTTATGTGGGGCACTGTAGCATATGTGTGGAGGTCAGGGGATAACTTGCAAGAGTCAGTTCTCTCTTTCCATCATGTGGGACTCAAGGATTGAACTCAAATCATCACGCTGCAGGAAGCACCTTTACACACTGTGCTGGATAGTTTTAGTGTCAACTTGACACACCTGGGTTGAGGGAGTCTCAATTGGGGAATTTCCTCTATTGGATTGGCCTGTGGCCATGTCTGAGGGGCATCTTCTTGATGAGTGATGTGGGAGGGCCCAGCCCACTGTGGGTGGTGCCACCCCTGGGCAGGTGGGCCTATGTTGCGTAAGAAAGCAGGCTGAGCAGGGGCCAGGCAAGAGCAAGCCAGTAAGCAGTGTTCCTCCATGGCCTGCACTCCAGCTCCTGCCTCCAGGTTCCTGTCCTGAGTTCCTACCTTGGGCTCCCTGATGAACTGTGACCCAGGAGATGTAAGACAAATAAACCCTTTCCTCCCCAAGTTGGTAGTGGTCGGAGTGTTTTGTCACAGCAATGAAGAACAAACTAGGACACACACTGAGTCATCTTGCTGACCCATAAATATATTACCATGTCATGGTTGAGATCCACTGGTCTAGTGCTATTTGCTGCTTTACAGTTCCCATGAAATATCCCCCTCTCTGGCCCCAGAGGATCTACTAATCTCAACCCCTGAGAAGTCTTGAACACAAAATTCTCTGTCGTATAAAATAGGTAATGAAGAACCAGCCAAAACTTACAAATATAACCTACATAAAGGTAAGAATGTAATCAGATTCTATGGCTAGCTGTAGCTTTCCTGATTATGCCACAAAAACCCTCCTCTTCCATTCTCACAGGACTGTGTAAAGAAGGGAGGAGTAAAAAAAAATTAAATCTGGCCGGGCATGGTGGCGCACACCTTTAATCCCAGGACTTGGAAGGCAGAGGCAGGCGGATCTTTGTGAGTTTGAAGCCAGCCTGGTCTACATAGTGAGTTCCAGGACAGATGGGGCTACAAGGAGACCATGTCTCAAAAAGACAAAAAAAAAAAAATTTAAATCTTCAAATTCAATATCCACATCATGTGCAAAATGCTTTCCATGTATGATTCCACACCAGTGTCCACACCAGTGTCTTGAGAACCCTAAAATTTAAGCCATCATCTCTTCCGCCTCCCCCTCCCCCACACCTTGCCCCCCCCCCTCTTCTCCCCCCCCCCCTCGCCCCCCCTTCTCCCCCCCCTTCCTCCGCCTCCTCCTCCTCCTCTTCCTCCTTCTCTTCCTCCTCCTCCTTCTCCTCCTTCTCTTCCTCCTCCTCCTTCTCCTCCTTCACTAGGGCCAGATTTCCCACCAGGAAACCAAAGTTGCCCAGTCAAGTGGGTGAGACAGGATGTCAGTCCGACAAGCTCCAAGACCCAAGATTTGCGATGTCACCTGCCACATGGCACCTGATAACTAATTCTTTTCTCCCTGCTCTGTCCTGCCATCAGCCATGGCCTTCTACTTATTACACAGTAACATTGCCTCCTCCTTACCTTGGCATGCTCTCCTGAGCTAAACATCCAGTCTACTTTGGTCACGCGTCTCTCTTCTGTGCTCTGGAAGAAACATCCCATCTGAGTTGAATCACCTACATGGATGGTGAGCTCTGGAGATAAAATGGTAAATCAGATCAGACTAAAAGTATAATCTAATAAAATTTCTTGAAAATAAAGTTGAGGGGTTGGGGAGATGACTTAATGTGTAAGTGTTTATTCTGCAAGCCTAAGAATCTGAGTTCAAATCTTCAGTACCCACAAAAAAATCCAGGCATGGCTGCACATGCCTGTTACCCCAGCACTGGGGAGTGGAGACGGGGGATCCAGGAAGCTCCAAAAATGGTGGCGCTTCCAATTCAGTGACAGACTTTGTCTTAAGGCAACAAGGCAGAGAGCATTGGAGGGGGAACCTGAAGTCCTGTGCTGGCCTCTACATGTGCACACATGGGCAAATACAGCCACATACATGCGTGCACGAGAGAGAGAGAGAGAGAGAGAGATCAAAACAATCAAAATTTAGCTAAAGCTCTTCAACAGCAAACTATCATCATCACCACCAAGCACTGTACATGTTCCCTCTATAGATGATTCAGATGATACTACATGGACAAAATATTCAAGAGACCCTCATTCACAGCAGCATGGCATCCCTGGGGTAAGAGCAAGAGCTCTCCATACACCAAGTCTGAGGTTTCTGAAGTCTTTACACTGCAATAAATTCCTTTTGGTCACCTTTAACTCCATTCTGTTTCCCTTTCTCCAGAATTCCTCTCCTAAGTTCCAAGTCCACATGTTTGTACTAAATAAAATACAGAAAGTCGGGGCTGGAGAGATGGCTCAGCAATTAAGAATACTGACTGCTCTTGCAGAGGACCCGAGTTCGATTCCCAGCACCCACATGGCAGCTAACAACTGTCTGTAACTCCAGTTCCAGGGGATCCGAGGCCCTCTTCTGAACTCGTAGCAATGCACAACATGAGTGCACTTGTATACGTGCAGGAAATACACTCATATACATAAAATATAAAAAATAATAAAACATTTAAAAAAATACAGAAAGCCTCAAAGCCCCCACTTTCAGAAACTCTCTCTGAATCCATCAGCACATTAAGAATGAACTCTATTTTAAAAAATCAATAATAACAACTGAACTTTCTGAGTTCTTTTAATGCATCAGGTATACACTAAACACCTTACATACAGCATATCACTTAGTCATAACATATATGCTCAACGTCTACAATTTGAACCTACCCAGAGCCTCATGTGTTAAGCCCCCACTTTCTGTTCATTCACTCAGACACCCATCTGCATAGCATAAACAGGAAGTGGGAAGTTAGAAAACTCATATTTAACTTGCTGTTCCTCTAACTGAAAAAAAAAAAGAATCATAGGTAACTTCCTTCAAATTCTTTTATTCTTTTTTTAATTGATTTTTGTGTGTATTTCATAAAGAACATCTCAAACAATCTTAATCATCTTTAAACCCCCATCCCCCATCCCCACTGGCACCCTCCCATACCCCCCCACCACTGGAGCCCATATGCTCTGTCATCCCTGTTACTGACCACTGTGTTGTCAGTGCCCCCATCCGCTCCCCAGTGCAAGTCTATTCGCTGAGTCTAGTGAGCCTATCTAGAGTCCCTTGTTTTAGGAAGATCAGCTCCTCATCATCTAGCAGCACAAGTTATCTTAGGACTTGCTTAGGACTTAGTTCTGGCTTCAGTATAGTCATACGACTCCTTGCAAATTGGGCCAAGAAAGTAGGCAGCTTTCCCCTTGACTTCTCTCTCTGCTTCAACTCTGACCTCTCCTGATCTAGACCCCACTTCTACCTCTTCAGGCCTTCTACCTCCTAGGTTCCTCCTTCTGCCAATTTGTATGAGTGCCTGACCCTACCAAATGCTTTCTGAGTAAGTCACTTCATATCCCTGAAAATAAAAACAAAGTAAAACCATGTTTCTAATCTTTTCATAATACTCTACACAAAGCCACCACCAAATAATTAAACAAAAGACAGGGTGGTATCTAGGAGTGCAAGTCTAGGTTTTAAGTAGAGAGAGTTGTTCTAAAAGAATGCTAAGTAAATGACAGAATAAGCACAGGCCTGAACCAAGCCTCATCCACACTGTCCCCCTGGGAAGATATGAACTTCCTGCCTAGCAAACGAGCTGCACAATGGGAGGAAAGCAAAAGAAAATACTATGAACTCTATACTTAATGGAGAGAATTATTTTGAAAGCAGTGAAAATTCATTGCAAAGAACATCAGTAGGGAAGGAAACTCCCTCTGAATCTATCAGCACATTAAGAATGAAATCTATTTTTAAAAATCAATAATAACTGAACTTTCTGAGTTCTTTTAATGCATCAGGCATGTGCTAAATACCTTACAGAATATCAGTTAGTCATTATAATATATATGCTCAATGCCTACAATTTGAATCCACCCAGAGCCTCACATGTTAAGGACACACGCTAGCACAGAACTATATCCGTAGCCCCAGTCAGTACAGTACAGGATTTAGAGGGACAATTTATATCTCTCTCCATTTTATGGAGAAGACTAGTGAAAAGAGCCCAAAGCCACATGGCCAGTAAAAGTAAAAGCAGCACCTCAATCCCAGGCCTAAGTGAAAACAAAGTTTTCTCATATATTCCATTACTTCACATAAGTAGGAGGATAACTGGTTCTAGAGCAAAAGATAGGAAATTGGTGTTACTTTATAGATAATTTTTAAGCCAGATGTGGCGCATGCCTTTAATCCCAGCACTCAGGAGGCAAAGGCAGGCAGAGTTTCAGGCCAGCTAGATCTACAAGAAGACCTGTCAGAGAGAGAGAGAGAGAGAGAGAGAGGGAGAGAGAGAGAGAGAGAGAGAGAGGGGGGGGGGGCAGAAATTGTTCACATAATGGGAGATTGAGAATGTCAGTGAAGGGACAGCTTCATGAGATGCCATTTCTATACCGTCCACAGGCATTTCCTACCCAAGTTCTTAGAATGTCACCATCTCCAAGTAAGAAATGGTCTTTGTCATAATAAAATTGCTTTGGTGTCTTCCTGTTCTAGAGAACTACTGGTTGACCCTCTCCACCTTTTGCTTTAGAGACCAATCCAACAGCTACTACTGTTGCTTATAATGCTTGTACTTGAGATCTTTCTGAGAGCTTGAAGAGGCTAGAGGCATAATGCCTCTCAGCTGCATTCCCTTCTACTATAACTACTTGGTCAGAGAGAAGAGCATTTAGAAAGTTCCGGCTACCTCAGCTCAGACTGCAACATTCAGACTGAAAGCAGCAGAATCCTACTTTAAACAAAGCCTTACCTAGCATCCCAATGAATAAAAGTGCAAAAAAGAACAAAGACTCTGGTTGTGATGGGTAGAAAGCTGGGGTCCTAGCAGAGTGGGTCTTCTGCCAACCCCTACCCTGTCCTCATGTTCTGCCTGATGTTCCCTAGAAGATAAGGCTTCCACAAAGGGGCAATTTAAAAACCACTAACCAAGGGCTGGGGATATAGTTCAATGGGAGTGTGACAGCAGAAAAGAAGAGGGATTTTGCTGTCAGAGACTCCAGGGTTTGAGTATCAGTTCAGATAGTTAATAAATATACCCTGTAGGCAAGTTGCTGAGCCTCTTCAAGCCTCAGTTACCTCCTCTGTAAAATGGAAGAACAATGCAGACTTCACAGGGGTTCTGTTAAGAGGAAATGTGTTTAAACTAATAATTATCATTTAGTGAAGACTCACTCTGTGGGCAGTACGTAGCCCAGAGGCTGGCATTTACTCCATAAGGTAGTTTCCCTGCCTCTTCCACAAAATCTCTCGCCCCCACAACCCCGTTCTGAATATGCCCCCCCCCCATACCTTTTGGTTCCTCTGGCAGCACATGCAGTACCACGAACTTTTTAAACACCATGCTCTGCCTTTCAAAGCGGATTTCACAGGTGTAGATTCCCTGGTCAGTGTCCTGCACATTTTGGAGCAGGAGAGAACCATCATTTTGTAAGATGTCTCCCACCAAACTCGCACGGTTCAGAAAGCGTCCCAAAGCCACGCTGAGGTTGGAGTAATAGTACAGAACGTATTCATTCTGGAGGGTGACACAGCATTGGAGAGAGTCAAATAGGAGCCAGACCTAGGAGTCTGACTCTTGAAAAGACTGATATAGAGACAACAAGGTTACCATCATCATCATGACCAAGAAGTACTCAGTGAATAATAACAATGTGCTAGGCAACTTTCTAGCTCGCACAAGGCTCCATGACTCATTTTCTACACAGGCAAATGAAACATGGCTGCCCATGTTTTTATTTCTTACACCTTAAGTGAAAACTGCAGCATCCACTCTGAAGATCGCCCTGGGGATTTGAATTCATAAATTTTGAAAATAATCCCTCATCTCCACCCTGTCTTAGTCCACAGCCCCAGTGAGCTGTCATTCAAATGTATGATGTAAGCTCTATGGTATTATGGGCTGGTGTTCCCTGTATGCTATCACTCCTCTCAGTTCTGCCCTCCTCCAGCCAGCAGTACCATAACACAAAAGGATTCATGGTTACAGGAAATGGTTCTAGGAAATGGTTACAAGCTGGGAGGGGGAGCCCTAGGGAATTCTTAATTCTACTTCTGCCATAGCTAGATCATTTTTATAATACCAAAAAGTAATAAAATTTGAAAGCAGCATTACAGAGACAGCAGAGAATATTCTCTGAGCTACAGAAGAACTGTTTCATTGGCAACCATTATACTGCTAGCAGCAAACATCTTGGGATGTATTTCACAAATGATCCCAATACCCACATATCTCCACAGACTCCATGACAAAGCTTAAGACAGTGTCCTAGAGTAAGAGCTCCACGAGAGACCTTCGCCCTCCACGATGCACCTGCTAATCCTCACACTTCAAGCAGATGGAAAGGAGGATAGCTAAAGAATCTGTCCCCCTCACAGAAAGGTAATTGTCACATCATTCTTCTGTCTCTGCTCAGAGCTCTTCTGTCTAGACTACAGCAATTTCCTCTCACATCCTCCTTTGGGCAGGAGACAGAAAAAGGGAATGAACAAACTTTGTGTGCATGTCTCCCATTAGCCCTTGAACCACCCAAAACTTAAGCACTGGCATCATTAGGACTACATTCCTCTTCACAGTCAGAGAAGCAGAACCTCAGGGAGGCTGGATAATCTGCCCTGCTGACTGCAACACAGCCAAGTGTCCGAGCTAGGAGGAGGCCCAGTTATGACACCTTCCAAAGCTCTTGCAACACCACCTCACAGTGCCTGATGCTTGAACTGCACAGTGTGGCTTCTTCTTCCTTACCTCCGCATGCTCCCCTGGTGAGAGTGTCCAGTCCACCTTGCTCACATGTTTCTCTTCTGTGCTCTGGACAACACATCCCATCAGAGCTGAATCACCCACATGGACTCTTAGCTCAGGGGAGGAAACAATCAAGTCATTCAGGCCCCAAGAATAACCTACAGAGGTTAAAGGGAAGAGGACACGTCATTTTGACAAATAACTTCAATGAGAAGTACCAATCTCTAGGTACTATCCATGTCCCAGACCTCCATGATCCAACACAGACCAAGTCCATAGAGGTCCCTCACTCAAACCGGCATTGCATAAGAGAAATGTCCTCTGCTTATCAGCATGGTACAAGTCTGAAGGATTCTGCAATCTTCAAACTGCAATAGGTGCTTTCTGTTCCCTTCTCCCAGCTAGTCTTTTCCCCTTTTCTAGAATTCTTCCTCCCAACTTTTCAGTGAAAGGGAATCCTGAAGTACTCACCCACTCGCCCAGTTCACTTAGCTCTCCACACAGTGTTCTTAATATTAAACAGGAAATGAGATCATGCTTGCTCTTACATTTCCCATGGGTTCCCTACCTGAATGATCAGCTAGCTCACTGGTGTTTTCGTTTTCTTCCTCTTTTCCCTTTCTTTAGTTCCTTCACAAAAGCTTATCTCTGCTTTTGCTGGCAGGAGTCTGGCTACAGTTAAGTAGGCCAGAGCGCAGCACGGCTTTCCCTTTGAATTTCCTCTGCAGTTTGCCCTCTCCCATCCCTCCAGAATTGCCATCAGCACTGCTGTCTGGGATGTCTGTGTCTGTGTGTGTCTGTCTGTCTCTGCGTGTATGTGCGTCTGTGTGTCTATGTCTGTGTCTGTCTGTCTGTGTCTGTGTGTCTCTAGGCATTTGAAGGCACGAATTCCCACACAAGCATCTGCACGGTGCTCAAGAAATTTCAAGAGGTCACTAAAAGGGAGAACCATGACAAGGATATTTCTGTTTTCACAAGATAAGACTCTGGGCAAAGAGACAACAAAACTCAAGAAAGACAAATTTAGATGCTGCCCAGTTTATATCAAAGAAGAGCCAAGTGAACACATATGGGAATAAACAAATGTGCCAGTCTTTTCCTCCGAGCTGCCTCCCCTGAGAGAAGAGAGCTAACTTCCTGCCCAACAGCAGGCTCACACAGTAGGGAGGACAGAAAAGAACACGTGAACTCTCAACCCTCTGGAGGAAGAGATTTTGAAAGAAATCAAAACTAGCTCCAACAACTATTTGGAATTTTCCTGTGAGGAAGAGCTGAGTGATGGGTGTGTGTGTGTGTGTGTTTAAAGACATAAGGAGTGAATTTAATGTAAAGAGCACTGTCTGGGCAGCGAAGTGAAGAGCTGTTAGCAACAACTAAAGCAGAGAAAAACTGAGCTCTGAAGGGTAATCTCTCTTAGTAGGGAAATAGCTGAAGAAAATGCAGTATTCCACGGGGGAACACCTCTCCACAAAGAGTACAAAGCCCTATGATGCCACCAAGCCACTCCATAGAGGGGACAGATTAGAAACACTCTGAAGCAGGCTGCCTCACAGATCTCTCTGAAGAAGCATCCAAATACCCTCTGAAATAATCACAACTCTGGTTCAGCAAAAAATTTCTCCAACACATACTATTTTCTCGTGTGTGTGCCTATATGTGTATCTGTGTGTGTGTGTCTGTGTCTGTGTGTCTCTGTGTGTATGTCTGTCTGTCTAGTGTGTCTGTGTGTGTCTCTGTGTGTCTGTGTGTGTCTCTGTGTATGTCTCTGTGTGTGTGTCTGTGTGTGTGTCTCTGTCTGTGTGTCTGTGTGTCTGTGTATGTGTGTCTCTGTGTGTATGTCTGTTTGTCTAGTGTGTCTGTGTGTCTCTGTGTGTGTCTCTGTGTGTCTGTGTGTGTCTCTGTGTATGTCTCTGTGTGTGTGTCTGTGTGTGTGTCTCTGTCTGTGTGTCTGTGTGTCTGTGTATGTGTGTCTCTGTGTGTATGTCTGTTTGTCTAGTGTGTCTGTGTGTCTCTGTGTGTGTCTCTGTGTGTGTGTCTCTGTGTGTCTCTGTATATGTCTCTGTGTGTGTGTCTGTGTGTCTGTGTGTGTCTGTGTCTATGCATATCTGTGTGTCTGTCTGTGTGTGCCTGTCTGTGTGTGGTTCTGCATTGTCTGGAACTGAGCAAATGTAACCCTTTTGTGTATTTTGCTGAGTCAGTATATGGTTCACTGTCTACAGTTCAAAAAGAATAAAAAGGGCCAGTGAGATGGCTCAGCAGGTAAAGATATTGCCACCAAGCCTAAGGGCCTCAGTTCAGTCCCTGGGACCTACATAATGGAAGGAAAGAACCAATTCCTGCAAATTGTCCTCTGACTTCCACAAGATCACCCCCACATAAATAAACAAATGTCATAAATAACAATAATAAAGAGTCAAGCATGATGGTGCATGCTTATAATCCCAGCACTCAGAAGGCAGAGGAAAGGGGATATTGAGTTCAAGTCCAGACTGGGCTACATAGACAAACCCTACCTATAAATTAAATTAAATTAAGTTAAATTAAATTAAATTAAATTAATAAGCAAGCAAAGCACCTAATGTCTTCTTCCTACAGTTATTTCCATGGAATAAATAACAAGATATGGGAAGAAAAGGTAAAAGGAAGTGAGAAAAAAGTAGAGATGAGTGACAGGAGGCCACCCTGGGCACAGGGATGAGGTCTGAATAGAAGATTCCCAGGCCTCCCAGGAGCAAGTAAAACTTAGGGGAAACCTGAAGAATCAGGAAGGCTTGGGCAGGCTTATTGGGGTGATGTGCTGAAGGAGGGGGAGGAACCAGAAGGAACCACCACAAATTGGGAAAGCGTGCCATGTATTCAGAAACCACAAGAGTACTAGCCTAGCTAAGGCATTAAAAACAAATGAAGAGGGACTGGAGGGATGGCTCAGTGGTTACGAGTACTGGCTGCTCTTGCAGAGGAAACGGGTTCAATTCCCAGCACCCACATGGTGGCTAACAACCATCTGTGACTCCAGTTCTAGGGGATCTGACTCCTTCTTCTGACCTCTGCAGGCATTACACAGGTGCACTTACATACATATAGGCAATGCACTCATACACATAAAATCAAGAATAATAAACAAAAATATTTTTAAAAAACAAATGAAGGGATCCTCAGTTTCTCTTTGGTAATTTCACTTCCAGATCTGAAACTAACTGTGGTTTACAGATAACAATCTTAAGTGTAGGAACAGTGTAGAGAAACTTTCTTTGTATCATATAAGTAAGTTCTAAAATGCCCGGTAAGGACCCAAAGATACTCTGTGCCTGACAGAAAAAGAGAAAGGCTTAATTCTCCAAGAAAGATTCAACAACCTGCTTCTAAGACAACTATTTCAGCAGAACCAAGAAGTTTCAGTTCAGGGTTTTAGTTTCCTACAAATCAAAGGGAATTGAACATACATAAAACTGGCTCTTTTAAAAAAAGTAGGAAGCCAGTCGTGGTGACACTTGCTTTTAATCCCAGCACTTGGGAGGCAGAGGCAGGTGGATCTCTGTGAGTTTAAGTCCAACCTGCTCTACACTGTGAATTCTAGGCCAGTCAGGGCTACACAGTGAGACCCTGTCCAAAAAACAATGTATAAGACTAGGGCCAGAGAGATGGCTCAGCAGGTAAAGACACTTGCTGCCAAGTCTGACAACCCGAATACAATCCCTGGAACCCATGTGATGGGAGGAGAGAACCAACCCAGAGACCCAACCCCGAAATTTGTCCTTTGACCTCCATATGCATCTCCCCCCAACACAAAATAAATAAATGTCAAAAAATACATCAGACTAAGGAGAACTCAAATACCAATCCAGTCTCTTACTTACCCACTAACTTACCTAGGTTACTTACCCAGTAACACTGGAATCACAAAGAGTTTCAGTGAACAACACATGCTGCTTCCAAGTTTTCAGCCTTAAGATAAAAGAATCAAAATTATGTCAAGAGAACTTCATTAATTGAATGAACCAATAATGACTGCCAATTTTGGCCAGCTCTGTCTGAGGCACTGGGACACAGCACTGAACGACAAAGACAATGTCCTCACTCACCTGCACTTTACATGTGAAGGAAGGGAAGTGGGGAAAGACACAAATGAATGAATGAAAAACACCAGATACTAAGGGCTATGATGAAACAAAACAGTGATGTTTGCAGAGTCACTTGGAGTATGTTTCAGATTGGCCATAAGGGAAGGTTAGATGAGAGTTGCTTTTCCAAAGAGAAAAGGAAATGGTTGTAGGACGCCTTTGAGATGACTGCCCTAGACATCCTACAACCTCAGTATTTCACATAAACAACAACAACAACAACAAAAATCACAGGATTCCAACCAACTAAATCAGAATCCTCCATACAGAGAGAGAATGGATTTTCAGCCCATATGGGAGAAGAAATACACAAAGAAGAGGAATTGATTCATTGATTTTTCTTTATTATGGTGCTAGGAATTAAACCAAGGGTATTACACAAGCTAAGCAAGCGCTCTACTCCTGATCAGATCTTTAGCCTACAGAGGGGAAATTTTAAACAAAGTAATATTTACCAAATTTAGGGCACAAAGAAACCACATGAAAGATTTTTTTTTTCCAATCTTTTAAAGGCAGGACCATGTAGGTAGAATAAAGAGTTGATCTGTACATGTAAAAGTATTTCTCTAATGTCTTTGTTATGTCTATAAGTTCCACTGCATCAACCAGCGCCTAGAAAATGACTCACTGTTCTATACAAAGTTCCCCCAAATTTTCTTAGCTAAATTGAAGAACCTAACCCCAAGGAGTTACAGCTCAGTCAGTCTTGGGCTCATACCTGTATGTCTCAGCTGTGATCCCTACAACCCTGCTCACTCTGCCACCAGAAGAATTTGCCCTCAGAATCGCTAAGGGGTATTAATAGCAAGTGAGCCTACCTGGCTCTGCTGGGACAGCCGCACATATGGTGGCTAATTTCCTGGGGCTGGAGAGACAGTTAAGCAGGAGCACATTCCAATCTTGCAGAGGACCCTTCCCAGCACCCATGTCAAGGCAGCTCACAACTGCCTGTAACTCCAGCTCCAGGAAAATCTGAACCCTCTGGCTTCTAAGAGGTATATGTACTCATGTGCACATACCCACATGCATACAGATTTCTTTTAAATAAAATAATTTTTTTATTTTTTGAGTTGGGGGTCTCCTTATAGTCCCAGCTGACCTGGAATTCACTATGTAGACCAGGCTGCCCTCAACCTCGCAGAGATCTACCTGCCTCTGCCTCCCGAGTACTGGGATTAAAGGCATGCACCACCACACCCAACCCTAAAATAAATATTTTCTAAGTAGTTGCCTAAGAGATGCCTTACCTGTATTCCAATCAACCAACGCTTCCACTTGGAAAATAAATGTCAAACTGCTCAAGGTTTCTTCCTTAGGTCTTACTTGACCTCACTAAACTCAGCTTCCTTGCCTATAACACAGGATAATTTGCAAGGATCAGATATGATCACACATGGATAACGTGCAAAAAAGGAAGCATACTCTACAGGATCCCATTTTCTAGAATCCAAGAGCCAGACAGAAAGCAGTCTGTGACTTTAGACAAGATTTCAGGTTCTGAGCTTCGACCTTTAAAGGAATAATGAATCAGAACAAACTAGATACTTTGAAGTTTCCAATTTGAGCCCCACTATAACTATGTATACAATTATTACGCTGTCCCAGTTATGTCATGAGTCATACACAAGTCCCTCTAGTGAAAACACTAATCTCTCAAAACAGCCACAACTGTATTCCTGCTCTGTGCCAACCCCCTCAATTCATATATATGTGGATGATGGTCCTAACAGGCTTCCTTTATAGCATGCCTTAACTTTAGTTCAGTATATTCAGACATCTAAGACTCCTGTCACCACCTCCAGAGAGCTAACTGTGCTCAACAAACAACTCAGCTTTCAAATAATTCCCCCAACAGCACACCGTTTGCACGGAGGAGTAATGACTAATTCGCATGTCTGTCACAGATGTCTATTCAAGTCCATACACTCTCAAGGACAGGAACCTGTATGTCTTATTTGTGTTTGTTCTCCCCCAGCTATAGGACCTGTAAATTGCTGGGAGCCTTTCAGATAAATGTTCATTACCAACAATGGGACCATTACATTCAAGTTAGCTTCAAGGTATCTTGCAACCCCTAGACTCTATTCTAGGGGGAGACCAGCAACTTGAAAAAGACTGAATCTAGTCTTACTCACTCAGAGCCATACCCAGCCACTTTCAAACCAATTCTAGGAAATTTATGTGACAAATAAAAGATACCCATTTTCAGTCCTAAATGCTCAAATGCACCAATAGAGTTCTTTGTGAATGGAGGAAAAAACAATGATTTTAGCAGAAAGAACACTGAAATAAAGTTTTTTTTAAGTTATCTTCCAGGCTCAGCCCTATTAACTAACTCTTTGATATTTAGAAAAATTGCTTAATTCCCCTGGGCCTCAACTGTAACATTAAAGGATCAGATTTATTTTTTCCTAGTTAATAAGAACTAGACTAGAAATCAATTGCTTTTAGCAATTTACATGCTAACTCACTTAATTCTCACCACAACCCTGAGACCTTTTGACAGATGGGGAAACTGAGGTACAGATTCATGATGTGACTTGCAGATGGCAGAGCCAAGATTCAATCCCAGACATCCTGGATCTTTCAAACTCAGTTTGTATCATCACGCAGCACTTCTGCCCATTTGTGAAAATAGCCAATGTTCTGAAGTAAAGACTCCTTGACCTTTACTGGTCAAAATAAGATCAGACTATGACCAGAATGTGCAAATGGTCCTCAGATATGATATTTCAAGCAAAAGAAGAAGGAGGTGCTATCTCCCAGCCAAAGTGTTTGCCCCCAGTAAGAACAACTGACTGTTGAAACACAGACAACTATGCAGCTTTCCGTCCCTCACGGCTCCCTCCACCGTGTGTCTCTTCAACTTCCCTATCCATTCCTGTGTACCTCTGAGTTCTCAGATTTGTAAGTATACAAATCTCCACAACCATTCTGAGATACAAACCTCTTAAAATAATATCTTGCTTTTTCCTTCTGAGGCCACATGATACAGACTGGGTGTCTACATGGCCTCTGAAACACAGTTTAGGCTACATCGGCCAATGCTGATCTTGGAAGTCACGACATTCTGCTGCTCCCTCCAAACCAGAATGTACCTAATCCAGTCTGTTTCCATCTTTCTCAAGGTCAGGGCTATGCCTGGTAGGATCAGTGAGCCTAGCTCTCTTGGGAAATTTAAGCTGCTACCTTGGCTACATATCGACTTATCTAGAATGGAGAGAAGAAAATCAGTGAGGGAAAGAGTCCTACCACCAGCTGAAGGCAACTGGAAAGCTGAAGCCATACAGACCTCATTCACTCTTTCCTCTGAGGAGCTTGACATAAATTACAGTACAGAAACCAAAACTGTACCCGCTGGTCCACCTCATGGCAGTCCCCCTCCAGAGACAGAATTCTATGACTAGCCTCATCATCCTACAGCATTGCCAATTAAACTAGCCTTCCTTTGAGTGAGAACCAGCCTTCTTCTGAGAAAAGTTCAAATAATGGTTCATGACATGCAAGGCCACTGCTTACCCAAGATGATGATGCTCAGAAGCAAAGCACAGAGATCTCCCACCACAGCAGCTCCCACAGCAACTGAAGAGACTACTAGCTGCACAGCAGGTCAGGCTCAAAACACACCAGATGAGTGCGTGCTTCTGAAGTGGCTGTGGAAACACAAACAGGAACCTCTAAATCAAGGTTCCCCTTTAAGTCATCTGGTTCACTACCCAATTGGCATTTACATTTTCGTTATGATCATATTCATTACTATTACACTGTTTTGTCCCTGTCCCACCCCTGCTGATCCCTTTCCTCTTCCCAACTAGTCCCCCTCCTATTTGATGTCTTTGTGAGCGAGTGTGTGTGTGTGTGTGTGTGTGTGTGTGTGTGTGTGTGTGCAGGTCTTGTACAGGTAGCACAGCAGCTGTATATTCATGATTGCAATGGCCATGTTATATCCAGAAGACGGCATTGCATAGCTCTCCTTCCCATCCTCTGGTCCTTTCATTCTTTCTGCACTTTTCTGCAATGTTTCCTGGGTCTTGGAGGGGGTGATACAGATGTCCCATTTAGGGCATTTATATTTTTATTCTAAAAGGAGGCACTGTATTCATTCAACTTACTGAAGTGAGCCTTACATCCCAGGTCCCTACAGGTGTCACTTCCACTTTTGGATTAAAAATTGTGCAAGGAAGATCTCAAACGGGCCAGGTGTATTGTTGTATGCCTAGAGCAACCTGGAGACTCAGGCAGGAGGAGCCAGCTTGGACTACACAGTGAGGCCCTGTCTCAAAGTGTGTGTGTGTGTGTGTGTGTGTGTGTGTGTGCGTATGCGTGTGCATGTGCATGTGCGTGTGTGTGCATTAGGAAAACATTTGCTGAGGAATAACTATGTAGACAAACTATAATAAAGATAGATATAAAACATTTGGCTGTGTTTAAGATACAGTAGTCTCACTATTTTCTCTCACCAGAGATGCAGTTCACATAATCACTGCTTCCGAAGATGCCTGCCAGGTGTTCCAGCTCAGCAGGTTGCCATGTAGATTTCCTCTGGCTGTGAGGCCTAAGTGTTGCTAGCACACAGGCAGAAAGTTACTGTCTTAGAGAACCCTTTGCATGACTTGCTATCCCAGTCCACTCAAGGCTTCTTGACTGCAAGATATTTCTCAGTCTTAAATCACCACTTCAAAGTAAGTGTTCTCCCATATACTCATCCAACCTGGGCTCTATGGGACACTCAAACCTGGATTTGCTCATCTTCTGGAACTTGTCCTGGAGTGAAAATTATTCACTGTTTTCTCTCCTCAAGGATCATGCTGCATGGTCCTGGTGTAAATATTTCCACCACGTCCTATTTCAGGCCACCAAAAATTTACCACATGCCTCCCAAAATTTCTAGAGAAGTAATCATCAGCTCCTGCTGTGTGAGCTGCGCCGGCACACCATTGAATCTATGCAGGGTCTTGCTAGGGTACAGCTCAGATGTTTGCTCAATGCTGAAAACCACAAACCCCCTCTTTCACACCTCTCATCTTAAATGTAGCTATACACCAAAAGGTAGCCAGAAAGTGCAAAGAAGTTTATTGACTACAATGGAGTAAAAAGATACCATGATTTACAATGTCTATGCACACAGCATCACAGCTCATACCCCTGCAAACCTAATTTAAAAGGCACTGAGATGCAGCAGTTAACAGTCAAACACTGGTGGGGAGCTGCCTCTTCTGGCAGGAAAGTTTTGATTTGGCCATTAAATAACCATCTTGGTCCACTCCTGTGGGTCTTCTTAGCACATCTTAGACTGTAGCTGCATGATACAATAAACATTCAGGTTCAGGATTTGGCCTCCGGGTCCTCTGATGTTGTTGTAACACACATACACACACGGACGCACACACACACACACACACTTTCAACTTTCCCTCGTGAAGCACCAGTGGCAGATTCGGGAGCTGCAGACAGCTAAGATGCCCCCAAGGGGCCTGAAATAACAAGTCACAGGGGAAAACAAAGACTTTATAAATTCACATTTTGTAACAGTTTTAAGAGCCTGATGTATAAAACTCACAAGGTAATGTAACCACAAGAAAATATTTAAATTACCTTTCCAGACAATGCTATAATTTCACATGGTTTGACAAAAGCCCACTGAGCAGCAAAAGAAAGAGATAGAGAGGTAGTACCTTAGAAGATATTAAACAGTAAGTTAAACCAACAAAATAAAACCTTTATCTTATTTCCATCCTTAAGAAAGCCAGAGGTCTAAGACTGCTTTGCTTTCCTTTAGAGAAAAAAAGATCTGTAGCCCAAATCTCAATATAAGGGTGAAGAAGGAAGCTGAGGGCAGTCTGTGCCTGGGATGCCACCACAAACCCACAGAGCAAACTAAATTACTAAGTCACTCTCTTACCATGAAGGATTCCATTGTCCTGTCATTTAAATAAGAAAGGACCATGTCACACCAGACAAAATAATGTGTCTAAGTACTCACAGAGCACCATTTACCTAAAGTGGCCAACTTAGGTCTAAGCTGGACTAATCCTCACAATGAAGAAAATTACAAGGCATCACCAAAACTGCTTCCTCACTGAATGGGAAGAGAAGGTTTAAATGGATTCTAATATCTCTGGCACACAAAATGAGACCCACAAAATGTCCCTCTTATAACTGGATCACTATTTTCAGTTCTGCAAGAGCTTAAATTATTTATGCTTGTTGCCCAAATTGTTTTCTTCTCGCTAATGAGATGTCAGAAAGGGTCTCCTTAAACTGGCCACAGATACCCATATCCTTAACAAGCAGCCCAAAGAACTATTAAGTTCAAACACTGGAAATGTAAACTGCCAGTCCCTTCTTTGCCTCTTCTGTGGACTTACCTGACCAGAAGTAAACCACAATGTTTATCAACTAATTAGTGGTCAAGATTAACAAATCTATGAGACAGATTTAATGACCCAAATATCAAAAATAGGATCTTGGTAGTAAATATGAGAGTTATTTTTCATAAGATAAACATATGTTATAATACGCAAGCCTCCCAAGCCACATGGGGAAGAACCATGAAGATGGACCACCATATTGAAACCATTAAGGCCTGGGAAGGGGTATTTCATGTCTTCCACAATCATGAAGTGAGCCCTATTGCTCTAAAAGGGTCATTTTCTATATGCTGCCAGTCCTTCCTGATATGTTGGCCATGTCTTCCTGGCTTAGAGAAAATCCAATATAAATAAAAACTTTAAAAGGGTTGCTGTAGGAGAGGCGTGTGTAACAGGTACTGAGAGACGAGAAGGGAGATGTCACATACAACCACACTTCTTCGTCTCCAGTACTGAGCAAAAACAGCTTGCAAATGCAGCCATAACTGGTGCATTTTAGAAAAGGAAAATATCCTAAAGATTAATACAAGTGAAAAGATTTGGTGCAAAAAATTGCTAAAATATTTTTAAAGTCTCCACTCAAAACCTTTTACAGAGGTTTTCCTTGCCTTTGACCTAAAAAAAAGGCAACCACAAACTAATTATAGAAACATAAAATAACCAAGATTTCTTGTACCAAGCAAGACAAATGCAAAGAATTCTTCCATCTCACCACTCTTTTCCTTAACTGTAAATCAACAACACTTTAACACTTTAACAACCCAGTTAAAGCAAACCCATCACTTCTGAGCTTGCCAGCTCAGAGAAATCAAAGTTAAATACTTCAAGCCACCCAAATACAATTGATGACCAAAAACCAAGCAGTAGATGCTGAATATTCACAACAGAAAATACTCATGGAGAAAAATGAAAAGATATCTATTCCAAACAAGTGTTTTGTCCATTGCATATCATCAAGAAGTTAGAGGCTCCATTTCATTAAAAAACATGATTTTGGCACCAGCAGTGTGACAGACATTTAGGATTCTCTTTCATGTAACTGGAAGAAAACGTGCAATACATTCAAGGGTGAAGGTAAACCAGGAAGTGTCTTTCTGTTCAAAAAAAGAATTTCTTCATTAGAGCATAACTTGTTAAGAAGGGAAGTCACAGTTTCTTCTGAGAGTTTCTGAATAATTTATAAATACAAAAAGAACATTTCTTCAATAAATAATTGCTTCCTAAAGTCTTCACTGGTGACCTCCAGAATTCTCTGTCCCTGCTGTCCCTGCCAGCGGCACTCCCAGCCAGGGGGTGGGATCTCCTGTTAGTAGGTAAGTCTTCCTGTATCACACAGACTTTCATCAGTATGCCTCTTCAAAGTCCGAATCCTGAAGGGGAAAGAACAGCAGGTGTAATGTGTGTTTGTGTATGAAATACAATGCCATGGTCCTGTTAGGCAAAGACTACATGTAGGGGGTCTCCAAATGGAACTTGGCTTGGGGTGACATCAGTAAGGTGTCTCTGATGCCACACCTAAATTCCATGGAGCATCACATGACCTTAATATAATGTGTCTACTGGGCTAATTTCTACTTTGATGTCCTAATGGTTCCCTTTTCCTTGGTGAATATTTTTTAAAAACTCAACAAGGTTTTAAAAGATGTCTATAGCAGAAATTTTACAAGACTGGGGTTAGGAATGCAGGGCAGGAGTCGTTTACCCCAGTTCCCACCTTTGCTGGCTATAGGACCTTGGATAGTTATTTAACTTCTCTAAGACCATTTCCACATCTATAAAATGAGGATATAAAAATATACCTCACACAACTGCATGAAACAATAGGTGTAAACAACAGCACTGTGCTTGGCACTTTGTAACACTCTATTTAAGTTTAACTCCTATTACTACAATCGTTACCGTTATTATTCAAACTCAGTTTCATTATTTCTAACCCCATATGGGACATTAGTGTTAGGTGGTCTAACAGACTGCTCCAGGCCTTAATTCTCCCTCCTCTTTTTCCTCCTCCCCTTCTTTCCTTACATTTACTTCTACAGTGTGTGTGTG